TGAGGGCAATAATAGCCTCAGCAGCATTTTTAAGTTCTGCACCAAGGTTAATGGGGTCCAGCTGAGAGAGAGACAGACCTGAGCTCCCTCTGTAAAACAACAGGTGGTCTAGAAGGCGAGACAGGTTCATGTTCTTAGTCAGGAATTCTGTTTAATGCCCTTAGGACGGCGCTGTATTTATTTAGTACTTATTTATCCATTTATTTCCTTGAATTATGGTCCTTGATTGGTCCATGCATTGCAACCTGTGTATTTGCTGCTTTGCTCTGGTGCCCAAGTGTTGATATGTAGTCACTGACAGGGTTTTTGAATGTGGGATTGATTGTGATTGTTCTGTTTTGTTGCTTTATTTTTGTTTGTTGTGTATGACTGGTAGACTGAAACTGAATTGCCCTACGGGGATAAATAAAGTTGTTTGAATTGAAGGTTGTGTGCTTCAGAGCTGATGAACATTGCTACTGATATCTTTAACCTTTCACTCAACCTGGACACAGATCGCATTCTACTTCAAAACCCCTACAATCCTCCCTGTTCCCAAGAAATCGGCAATATCCTGCCTAAGTGATTACAGACCAGTGGCCCAGTACTCATGAAGTGTTTTGAGAGACTGGTCAAAAATTACATACCGAGTATTATCCCAGCAAAGTTTGCTTATCGGACAAAGATCTTAAGTCGACGCCATCCCACTAACCATGCACACAATCCTCACTCATCTGGAAAAAAAGTCAGTTTGCCAGAATGCTTTTTATTGACTACAACACTGCCTTCAATACAATCATTCTCTCCAAACTCATGGTCAAGATGCACAAACTTGGATTCTCTCCTCCGTTGTGCAACTGGATCACAGAATTCCTTGCTGGGAGGCCTCAGTCTATGTGCGGTCCACACATGACTTACGTGAATGACTAATCATTCATGCAGCACACCTGGACACACCACCGCTCACTGAACAGATCTCTGCCTCACTGCCACAAACAACTGTCTCCACCTGCTGGCATGTAAAGCCGTCTGCTCCCAGCGCTGTCCCACAGACTTCTATTCCTGTCATCATCATGCATAGACCAGTAAACTGAAATGTGCACATCCCACACAGAAATATTAGTAAACTCTTAAGGATTAGGACAACTGCACCAACTCCAGCACCCAGAACAAACTCATTTAAAATGGCTCTCTTCAATGTGAGATCACTTTCAAGTAAGACTTTTATCTTAAATGATTTTATCTTGTCTGCTAATCTAGATTTTATGTTTTTAACTGAATCATGGTTGCAAATGAATGACTATACCCAACTAGCTGAACTGTGTCCGCCTCAATATGATTGCTTTAGTCAACCGAGGGTCAGTGGTCGTGGTGGTGGGCTAGTGAGCGTGTATAGGAAAAATTTGAAATGTCATCAAGTACGCTGTGATGAATTTAACTCCTTTGAAGTTCTCACTCTTAAAGTTGGAGGGCTGCAACCTATCATATTTGTTATAATTTATCGCCCCCCAAAACCGCCTGGAGGATTTTTATCAGAACTTCCTGAATTTTTATCTACTCTGGTTTTAAATTATGACAGAATTGTTCTTTGTGGCGATTTTAATATTCATGTTGATGACCCCAACAATGTTAATGCAACTGACTTTTTAAATTTGGCCACTTCTTTTAACTTCAAACAACATGTCAAAGGGCAAACACATAACCGTGGTCATACACTGGACTTGGTTTTTACCCTGGGTGTCAGCATTTCCTCTGTGGAATTAGTGGACATGACCATATCTGACCACAGATGTATTGTTTTTAGCTGCGATTCGCCTGTTACTCATGCCGCCTCACCAAGCTCCGTGTGTTGTCGCATCTTTAATGAACAAAGTGTTTCAAAGTTTTGCGCATTCTTTCAGAGCCAAAGCCAACACCTGTCTGATTCCAACACCAACAATCTGGTCGATCACTTCAATCATATCTGCTTGTCATCACTAAATATTACTGCTCCTCTAAAGGTTAGGCCTACGTCTAAAGCTAGTAAGCAACCCTGGATAAATGACAGCATTCGCAGCCTCAAAAGGGAATGCAGGAAAGCAGAGCGCAGATGGAAAAAATCCAGTCTCCAAGTCCATTACCTCAGTCTGAAGGATTTATTAATTAACTACAATAACATGGTTAAGGATGCGAGAACACACTATTTTTCTGAACTCATTACTACACATAAACACAATCCCAGGTTTCTGTTTAAGACTGTGGATCAGCTGGTAAACCCAACCCCTCCTTGTGCCTCAGCTGGAAGTAATGATGACTGTGAATTGTTTTTATCTTATTTTACCAATAAGGTGGTGTCAATCAGAGCCTCTATTACCCCCGTGGCCTCTTACTCAGAGGTTCCTCACCAGCAACAACAGAGTTTTAACCAGTTTTATCCCATCGACTTGTCTGAGCTTTTAAAAACAGTATCACAAATGAGAGCGTCCTCCAGCCCACTTGATATAATACCTACAAAATTTTTACTGAAAGTAATAGATGCTGTTGGGCCCCATTTGATCTCTGTTTTCAACAGCTCCCTATCTACTGGTTGTGTCCCTGATTATTTTAAAACGGCTTGCGTGAACCCACTTTTAAAGAAACCTGGTTTAGATCCCTCCCTCCCACATAATTTTAGACCAGTTTCAAAACTGCCTTTTATTGCAAAGATTCTAGAAAGAATTGTGTCCAAACAGCTGCTCACTGTACTGGAAAATAACAAAATATTTGAAAAGTTTCAGTCTGGTTTTAGGAAGTACCACAGCACTGAGACTGCCCTGCTTAAAGTCACCAATGACCTTTTAATGTCTGCTGATGAAGGTATGTGCTCAGTCCTTGTACTCCTGGACCTTAGCGCTGCTTTTGACACCATTGATCACAACATCATGTTAGACAGACTGAGGCACTGGGTGGGGATCTCTGGTACTGCCCTAGAATGGTTTTCATCCTACCTGTCAAATAGGAAGTTTTGCGTGTCTGTAAACAACTATGTCTCTTCATTCTGTCCAGTTAAATATGGTGTGCCTCAGGGGTCGGTCTTAGGACCCATTTTGTTTTCCTTGTATCTGCTTCCCCTTGGACATATTATCCATAAACATGGCATTTCTTTTCATATTTATGCTGATGACACACAAATATACTTGCCCGTCAGATCCACAGACCCTGGAATGCTGAGTTCACTTAACAACTGCCTTTGTGAAGTTAAAAAATGGATGTCAAATAATTTCCTCCAGCTGAACTCAGACAAAACAGGAAATCCTGGTCATTGGGTCCCAGCAGATGGCAAAACAAATACTGCCATCTGCTGGTTCCCTAGTAAATCACATTAAGCCTGTGGCAAAGAACCTTGGTGTTTGGTTTGATAGTAATTTAAATTTCGAGCAGCACACCACAAAACTTGTTCAATCATGTTTTTATCAACTTAGAAATATAGCTAAAATTAGATCAATGTTAACTTTTAAGGACACCGAGACCATTTTACACGCCTTCATCTCATCACGCCTGGATTATTGCAACAGCCTTTTCACCTGTTTAACCCAAAAATCTATTGATCGACTCCAGACTGTCCAGAACTCAGCTGCCAGGCTTTTAACCAGAACAAAGAAATATGACCACATTACTCCTATTTTAGCTTCATTACACTGGCTCCCAGTATGTTTTAGAATTGACTTTAAAATTCTATTGATCACTTTTAAAGCTCTTCATGGCCTCTCGCCTTGTTATATTTCTGACCTTTTAGTCCCATACGCACCAGCACGTACCTTGAGATCCTCGGGCAGAGGTCTGTTGTCTGTTCCAGAGTCTTGACTGAAAACTAAAGTGGACAGAGCGTTTGCTGTCAGGGCCCCGAGGCTCTGGAACAGCCTGCCCGAGGAAATCAGGTCGGCTGAGTCAGTGAACTCTTTTAAGTCCCTTCTTAAAACATACTTTTATAGGAGAGCTTTTCCCAATCTTATTTGACTTTATTTTATCCCTTTTATTTTATTATATTTTACTAATTTTATATTAAATTTTCATGCTCTTATCTTTTTTTGTATTATTCTTTACACTTGTTAAAGCACTTTGTAACTTGTTTTTGAAAAGTGCTCTACAAATAAGGATTATTATTATTATTATTCAACTTGGCAAGAATCCCTCAAGCACCCTTATCATGAAGACAGGCACTCCTCAAGGCTGTATACTGTTCACACGTGATTGTATTGCTCTCCATCCAAATAATATAGACTATTAATCAAATTTGCCGTTGATACAACAGCGAGTGGCCTGATCAACAGGGATGGCGAGGCAGCCTCCAGGAAGGAGGTGTTTGACCTAATCACATTCTGCTAACACTGCACATCAGCAAGACCAAGGAGATGGTTGTGGACATTAGGCAAAGAAAACATCAACCACTGCTGATTAGAGAGTACACATTAGTGAAGATTAAAGCTGGGCAAAGAATATGACACATCTGGTTAAGAAGGCTCACCAAAGACTGTACTTTCTGCAAAGGCTGAGGAAGTTTGGCGGTCAGCTTCTACAGGTGCGCTGTAGTATTTAAGTTTCTTAGCCCTGATAATTTTGATCAGTGTGTTTTTACGTCACCTCAAGTATCTGAAGGGAAGGTATTTCACTGCAGTATTTTAAATCTCTAAATTGATACAGTAAAAATGCTTAATATAAAGTCTGCTTATAGTCATAGTTATCTTGAACTTGAGATAACTATAGATACCTATAACTCAAATGTGTGAGTCGTTTTTTTAGCAAGCCAAAATCAAAGAATAAAGTAATTTCCCTAACATTTCAGTGGATTTTTGTTTTTACTTTTTAGGGACATAGGCTATAACATGTTTTATACTTCATGTGAACATAATCCAATTCATCTTATTTCATACATATGTATTTGGTATACATCAAAAAGTTAAAACCTTATTTTGAAAACCGGACGTTGTCACATGTGTAGCCGCCGGTATCCTAGCGCCAAGCCCGACGCAATGATAAATGACGTTGTACACGGTGCTTGCTTCGCGTAAAATTAAGATTGTATCGCCTCTATTCAGGTAACGTTAAGACTTTCATACTGCATGACTTGTCTTTGAGAAAATGAGAAAATGACAAAGTAAAGTCGCTTACTCTGCCTGTCAATTCGCTCGAGCAACAAATCGGGAACGAAATTTGGGGTTTGTGTATATCTTTACTATTTCTATAGAAATGTGTGGTTTAACGTTATGTGTGGTCTTAACATACTGAAACAGGATGGCTATCAAGTGTGTTTGTAAATACATGGTACAGTTTGAATAAAGTACAGGTGTGACGTCACTGTCCTCCCACAGGTGAGTGAATCGATTACAGGTGTGAATATGTTTGGAGCTCCGGTGGATTTATCTTTTAAACACATCAGCAGTTTGGCAGGTAGTGCACTCTGTTACTGTCATATTCCTATCATATTTTTTTAATGGTACTTTATTGTTTATTCCTGTATTTTCATGTCATTACAGCTTTGAAAGGGAATAACTGTATCTTTGCTGTAACTGCACATTAAAGTGTAGTGTATACTAAATAAGCATAGGATTAGTACACCTTGGAAATACATTTTCAGTATATATCTGTATGTAGTTTGTGGCAAACTTGTACGAATAGACTGTATTATTCTTCTCTAAATGAACATTTTAAGCATTTGATCTACCAAATGCATGTACAAGTTAGACGGAAACTCAATGACTGCAATGAATTATCTTTCGCCAGTACTTAATATTCACATTTTATTTGGGTTCACAGACACATGGATAGAGGAACCCAGCAGCGGTCTGCGGCCGTCAAAGACAAATTCAGAGATGAAGTACCTAAGTCGCTCCCTGCGTCTTAATAACAACAACATCACTGACCTTTGTGACCTCCAGAAGACTGTTTGCCACTTCCTGGCTGAGCCATCACAGCTTGCCTGGCTGGATCTTTCCTTCAACAACATCTCACACATAGATCAAGTTAGCTTCCTCTCTCCATGGCTTGTTTGCTTAGCTGTCTTTCTTCTTTCTGTCCTGATAGATCTGCAACATGTGTGTGCTTGTGTTCCAGGTTTTGAGTGAGCTGCGCGAACTGCGTGTGTTGTATCTTCACGGCAACAGCATTTTTATTCTGTCAGAGGTGGACAGGCTGGCAGCGCTGCCACATCTACACACTATCACTATGCATGGAAATGTTATAGAGACTAACAAGGCTTACAGGTGGAGACTTTCTTTCAAAGATCACAAATGTACCTTAAACACAGTCACATACACACACATCCTGCTTAGCTGTAAAATGTTTGGCTGTGAGAAGCTTATCCTTTCTCACGAAAACTGAATGTGAATGAGCAAAGTGAACAGAACCAAATACTGTCACACACTTCAAAGGTGCAGAGTGAGGGTTTACTCTTATGCTCCGAGAGTGAATACATTGTGTGTCTACGTGAGACATGCCTGGCAGCCATGTAGGTGCATAACATTGTAACAGGTGCTTTACTGCAGTGCAAGCTCATGTTACATTCTTGTCTGCTTAGCAACACCAGCTACAAACACACACACACACACACAGAAAGAGGGGTTGGCTGATGGTTGTAAGTCTTAACTGAGTAGAACTGCTTACTCATGAATTAGTGCAGCCTTTTGATAAAATTTTATATGTGTAGCACCAGTAAGTAGAGACATGGTCAACTTTTCATAGAGTTTACAGACATATACACCTCATCATTATCCGTGTGGACACAGAATAAACTATTCAGTACGCATGTATGAATATATGTTTTTGTGCATTTAGGAATCGGGTTATTTCTGCACTGCCTCGGTTGAAGACGATGGACTTCAGCGCTGTGACACGTCAGGAGCGAATCATGGCGAAGATTTGGCATAACAGCAACGGCCGCAGTAGAGGCAGCAAGGAGACCCTCCAGTGACTGCTGGCTCGTCTCCCTTGGGGTGTGTTGAAATCGAAGTTTCACCCAAATGTTCTATGCTCCACCACCACCAACACCACAGGTGGAAAGCCGCTAAAATATTATTTACATTGTATGTTTGTCTGTATATCTGTGATGAAATTAGCACTGTTATAATGCTTGTTTTTTCTCCATTTTCAACCTGCTATCATTGATTAGTCCAAAATGTCACTGAATGATCCTGAGGTATTGGCTCTGACATACTTGAAATTCTCTAATTGTTCCTAACATGGGTGTGTTTTTTATTGTTATTAATGTTAATGACTGTGTGTAGCATTACTGAACCAACTACTTCCCAGATACGAGCATAGGGATGTTAAACTTTATTAAATATGACATGTGAGTGCTTATGTTGAAAATCTTTAATGAACCAAGAAACAAACAAAAAACCCAAACTCTTAAAACTTTTTGGTACTAGCCTAAGATATTATAAACATATTTCAGGTAGTATAACAAAAAAAATTGCCAAGAACCCATTGTAAAAAGCTCAAATCAATTGTTGGTTGAAATAATCACGGCCTTGCAGATCATCCCTTTAGAGACTCGAGAGCGGCTCTCCGTGCTCCCTGCTCACGCATATACATTTAAAAACACAAATAAATAATCACAAAAAGGTCTCGGATCATTTTATCTGTGGTGGTACATGGATTGTTAACGCTCTGCCACACTGCTACAATGGTTAGTTTCTGATTAATAGGAACAACTCAATCTTATTACAATCTGCAGCAAAAAGCTTTTTTTAAAAGCTGACAAACACAAGCCTAAAAAGAGTTCTTGTTTTTCATAAAAATGTTTTTCACCACAAGATTTTAGCCTATCCTGACCAATGAACCCTCTATGAAAAGAGGAACAATCCATCATCTGTTTCTATATTCAACCAGAAAATTCTGTACAAAGGCATGAATACACAATATCTGTCCCTGCACCATCCACGCCCCTCCATGTCTGTATGCCTCCGCTGCTATTAAATAAGTTCTGGGATTTGATTTCAAGAGTCTGCCAGCTCATTCTGTTAATGCTAAAAGACACATTACTGCCTGTAAACTTAATAACTTGCACCCCAAGAAAGCTCCTTCTTTTCCCGCTCACAGTGACATTAACTGGCCCCCTAGCCCCACCGTTCGCAGCCTCACCCACCACGGGACACCAGCCATGGACAGGTCACTCATGATTTGGCCTCAACTGGAAGAAGAGATTACACAGCGAACAACAAATAACCAACGCAACCCATTTCACTGCCAGTTTCAAACATTATTACAGTGAAATGTGAATGAAATTACCTCAGTCAGGTTAGTTTACTGGTGCACGTTTAGGTTTTGTGAGATATGGGTCTTGGTGCAAAGTGAGACCAGATTACCGAGATGTTTGATGCCGGCATATATCAGGATCATAGTGTTACAACCTACCAAATTATAATGAAATCTTAACCTTAAGAGAAAACATATTCTCCTTTTTTTGGGCTCCAATTTATAGATTTTTGTTGTTTTTTGCAAGGAGAAACAATGAGTGAATGAAAGGGCAGTGTCATCCCAAGACGACAAAACAGAGTTAAATATATATGAAGTGCAAACCTTAAGCCATGTTGCAAGTTTTTATCCAGGTTAATGGCTAAAATACACAACCATTGGACTTGCACCTATGGTTCTGTGATAATTTCCATTCCTCTATCAAGTATACACCACTAGCCAATGTGCCAAAAATTCTGCAGCTCTCTCCAGGTGAACATTCTTTCATGCCTTTAACAGTCTAGGTGGGGAGTATACTGATTATACAGGCTAGGGAAACTAATAAAATAAAGATGCTGAGACGACCCTGAAACCCATAAAAAAAAAAAATAGGAGAGAGAGAGAGAGAGATCACCGAGAAGGATGCATGATGCTTTTTCCACAGCTGGTTCTGACAAAGCCTGTCGTCCACACATAACGTACAGAGGAGGCCTTGTTGTAAATATGAGATCACACCCCAATGGCCCCATCCACAGTAGACCATCTTCCACTGCCCATGACGACCGTCATCACTGACCCATAAAGTACACTAAAGGACAGCCATAGGGTGCAATCCTACATTGTCTCTGTCTTTGTAGCAGTTAGAGGCATAGCTAAGAAGCAAAAAGACCAAGATGCTTTAATCAAGGGTGAGCTGGAGGGTGAGGATGCAGAAGTGACACAGAGAGAGCGGGATGGGAGGAAAAATATGCGGGCCAGAGTCGCAGAATCAGGGAATGGCAAACTGGACCACCAGTTCTTCTTTAGCATCCACTTTGATTTGAGAGATTGCACTGTAAGCGTAGGCTGCTATCTTGGACACCTGCAAAGACAGAGGAAGACAGATTTTCTGTTAGAGTGTGAAAATGAAGAAAAAGAGTAAAACAAGACTAGTTTGCTGTGTGTGACCAACACTTTTAGTAGTCGGACTAAAACAGTAACAACATTAAAAGCATTAGATATCTTCTTCTATTTTAAACCACACATTTAGTCACACCCTCACACACTGAAATACCACACGGCTACACACTGCATACAGTGTCCAAAGAACTATTTCTCTAATGCTAAATGTAGCCAACAAGGAAACAACACATGCCAACTCATTTTCCATGTGTGCTCGTGTATGATTACCTGCTGAACATCTGAGTATGGCACCAGGTCACTTGCAAGCACTTGGTGGGGCTGGCTGGTGAGCGAGGGGAGAGTGAGGGCTTTCTTCTGGGGCAGACTGTTGTTCAACACAGCCAGCTTTGTACTGAAACAACAACCAAAAAAAGAAAAAACCCACAAGCTTACTTGCTTGCAAAGTTTACTTTTGTCCACAACACATCACCTTGTGTCTTGCGTATTTTCGCCTAAACAAGGCTGCTGTGTTTGGTAAAAATGTAGCCACCGGGTGGCATTGTATGTAGGTTCAAGGTAAAGTTTGAGGGAGAAGGCCTACACTGTTGCAATTTTTGGTTGAATCACTTCCTCCATTTCCTTATTATGTTGTTGGGTGGGTGTAGAAATTTCACAGAACACCTGTTTACAGCTTCCCACTTACATTTAAGCCAATACCAACCAATACATGCTGTGGGATATACACCTGGCTAAATAGTATTTAAGTCATGTGAACATCTCTTTCCCATAAATGAGTGAGATACAACCCCACACCATTAAGCACCATACAGTGTACAAATAGTACACAGCACAAAGTTAAGCTCAATATCTTTACTAAGACTGTTATTAAATGGCTCTAAGAACTTAAATATACCATCTTTAAAGGGTATAGGCTACCTGCATGTACGACTCAGCTCGTTAATGATAACCATCTCCAGGTAAGCGTAAAACGCAAGACTAATTCATCTCATTTTAAAAAGGCAACTCTTGTCCAAACAGAAACCCACACCCTTCCCATACCCATACAAGAAACAGAAAGCTGCATTAGAGCAACAGCCGTCCATAACAAATGTTACGCAAACGCTTACCCACATACCTGTATTGCCGAGCTTTGTCCATGTATTCATGCTGCTCCATCATGACAGAGTCAGCGGCTGCGACATCAATGATGTTCCTGACAGAGAGGGAATATTCGCAGGTTTATTAAAAAGAACCACCAACCTTTATAATCAGGAAACGCATGCAGAATGTGTCTCGTCTTCGGTTGCATGAACGAGTGTCTTACTGTGCTGTCTTGGTGAGGATGGATGTAAGGAGGGCCTGTTCATCTGTCCGCGCTGAGGGGACACTGGTAGTAATCCAGTCTGTTCCATTTGGGGGTTTGCTGACAGGGTTCGGGTGGGGGATCAGCGGCTTACGTGCCTCAGCATCCTGGAACAGGTGGATCAGATTATAAATAAAGGATAACAAAGCGGTCAGCTCGTTACAGTTTAACAAATTATGTGACTGTTGTGTAGCAAATTAATATGGTAGAAGTAAACACCAAAGGATGTGCCTACTAGATTGTTTTTATTCAAGACATGACATACACTTGATAAAACCATAGTAACTTAGCCTATGAGAAGAAACAAGAAAGTACTGTGTGACCCACTGAAGGTGGTTTCTTCATTGGATACAAGATAATTAAAGAAACTTTATTGTCCCCTGAGAGAAATGTGTCTTGGGCTGCAGTAACAAACAATAACTACATATGGACTTCACAATCACACACATAATACAATCTGTTCCATACATTTACATCGCACAAGTATGTGACACTACCACCTATGCTAAAACAACTGAGTGAATCTGTTCAGTTGCACTTGATGCTCATAAAAATCACAAACAATTAAACAAACAATAAAATAATCACAACAGCAAGTTCTTCAAAAAACATAAATTAACCCATTAAAGAGCAAGGTAGTTAAAATTCACTACTAACCTGCAAACAACGTAAAAAGTAAACTATAGTAAAAGTATAAAGTGCCAGATGTTCTTACCACAAATTAAATAATTGTGTTACAATATAACAGTTTTTTGAGACAAAAATGTAAAGGTATCATCTCAACAACCATAGCAATGCATTTTACACCATGCATTATTACACTCTTTATAGACCCTGCTCTAAGCTTAGTATTGCTAACATAATTATCTGACTCTGACATTAGTTTACTTTTTGCCAGTGAATAAAGAAATGAACTACAAATTACAAATAAGACGTTAGTTACATTTTCAGACTAACACATTATTTGTGGTTAGACGTGAATTGTATTGTACTCCTTGTGTTACTATTATATAAGATTAAGTTCATATGAGGCAAGCCATTCTGCATGAAGGAAGAATGGACTGGTTTCCTTAAACTATAAATAACTAAATAGCTTGAAGGTCATATGACATAAAAAACATCAAGACCACGGTCTCCAGATTTCCCTTCAGTTCTTCTTGTGTAATAATTAGTCATTTACTATTAATTCAGTTAGTTACAGATTGCGTTAAAACAGTTCGGTTTCAGGAACTTATGTGTCCTGCCAATGTTAAAAGTCGCGGTAAGTTACATAAGTGTGCAATTGTACATGTTTCTTTGTCTCCAGGTGTGTAAGTTACAGCTCTTCTTGTGTAACGTTTTGATCGATTATGTGCTAACTTCACAGCCTTCCTAGGGTCAGGCCTTTCCGACAGGCTAAAGCTACTTTTGGGAGTGAAATCACTTTAACTATTAAACTATTACTACTCTTAATGCATTTTATGTCTAAAACATCCTCGGTACATAAAATAATATCACGCCCTTTGATTCTTAGTAAAAACATAGTATTTATCGTGTTTTAGCCAGCTAGCAGCTAGTTTAACTACCTCCTCTGTGGCATCGTTCTCGCTGCTGTAACAGCAACCCATGACCGCGTCCGAGACTACACAACCCCAGCGTCTCCGTCAGAAACGAGCCGTGTTTATCTTCTCCAACGAAACATACAACTTGTCTCCTGCGTGGTTTTACTCTAGATCCGTCTGAACGTAGGAAGCTACTGTTAACAGCAGCTCCTCGGACGAGCTATCACATGACAGCAGCTCAGTGGTGCAACAACACAACGGGCACTTCCGGTATTTGAGAAGCGGCTGCGGCCTTCGTCACGTGAAGGGGGGGTTTTCAAAAGTGAGCTTTGTAAAATAAATAAATAAAATAAATAAACCATTAGCAACAGTGGGACAAAATAATAAAAGTAAATATTACATTTCAAAAAATTACATTGTCAGCTGTGGAGGAGGCAAAAACAAGGTTGTCACTTTGTGTTGAAAAGTAGTGTGGGGTAATAAGGGCTCAGATTAGGGGTTTGACAATATTGACAAGATGATACACGATAATGGTTTCACGAGAACAAGATGAGACGATTTAACTCTGTCTTTTAGAAATTCTCTTTAAATATATGAACGAGGTGTCTGAGGGAGGACTTTTGAGCATTAAACACTTAATTTCCTGCATTCAATGTTATTTTTCCATCCATCCATCCATCGTCAACGCTTATCCTGCATACAGGGTCGCAGGGCATGGTGATTTTTTCCCCACCAATTTCTTTCATTTTAAAATGTATACATATGTATATTATTTTCTACAACAGATTTACGTTGACATTATGAACACAACACATCCAGATACAGGGGTAGGCCTACATGTACAATATAAAGAAAAACAGAAAGAACAGGACATAAGAAATTAAAAGTAGATTTAAAATGATATATCATTTGTCCATAAGAAATTTGTCAAACGCATAATAAGTTTTGATTGCCTTCTTATTTTTAATGTACTTCTATTTTTTGCACCAATTTCTGCCTTTTCTGCATCAGTTTATGATGGAAATGTTTTTATTTAGTAAAGAGAAACACAAAATTCAGGTGGCAGGTGACAATTCAAAATATAAAACTTTATATCTTTATATTGCAAATAAACCTTTCTAAAAGCATTTTTTGTTTTGTTGTCTTGTTGCAAACTATTTTTTAATGAACATTTTTAACAAATGTTTTCAAAAAGTGATGGGGACAAAATCACCCATTTCAAAAAGTGGTGGGGACATGTCCCCCAGTGTAAATGACACCAGATTCAAGTCAAAGGTTTCGGTAAGATGTGCAGAGCATATTTCTAAATTGAATTGTTTAATGAAGCCACCACAAACTCACCAAAAATAATACTTCATCATTGGCATTTGCTGGTTGGCATTTGCTTTGACATGACAGGGCACATACACAATTTACCGAGGGCAGTAGGTGGGTGGGCAATAGGGCCCCAACAGCTCATTTCTGCCCTTGGGCCCTCTAACATGTTAATTCAGCCATGCTTGTAGAGAGTGCTTATAGAGTTTTTGATTATTTATGCATTAACTTAGCAAGTATGTTGATATTCAATAAATATTGAAACAGACACAAATACAGTGCTTACTGTGCAAAGTATAGCTACATGTGATATGCTGTATTACTGCACTGAGTTAAGTGCCAATTCCACCTGCACAAGCATGTTTTCCCTTTTTTCTTTGAATGAGGGTAGGAAATTTAGTGAAAAATGAACCGTGCAAATATTTAATCAAGTTCGAGCTGTCCGAATTCATAGAAGCTGCTACTAAGCAAAATCAAAGGGAACAGGACGAGGCATGTTTCTCCCTGGAAAAAAGATGAAAGGGTCTCTGACACCCTCAGGCTGAGTATGATGACAGGGTACCACACACACCGCTTCTCTGACACACAGCAGTAACATTTTATTTCCAGTACCTAATTTCACAATACACACAGTTAACGTGTTTTCAGAGCTCTTCATACACTAAAACAGCTTTCTCAAAGCTTTTACAAAAAAATGCATTGAATTACTTCAGAATCTCTGTACAAACATAAGCAAACTTTGTAGGCAACTGCACAGTCTATATATAAATGTTTCTCCCCTTTTCAGAACCTAAAAACTTAAACACTGTGTGATTGAAGTTATTATGGATCTACAGAGTATTTACATTTTTGCTGTATTTTGTAATAAATAAAAAACAGGAAAGGAAACAGAGCATACTTTTGTTTCATACTTTCTGACTTAAACATTTAGTCATTTGGCAGATGCTTTTATCCAAAGCGACTAACATTTGAGGAACAACATACAAGCGTCAATGACGTAAAAGATCTACAAAGAGCAGCAATAAATAAGAGCTATTAGCGCATACGGCGTCAATGGGATAAATACCTACAGGGGAAGAAGTAAAAGTTAACAAATAGTGTAGGCTAATCAATACAAGAGAATTGTAAGGAGAAAGATGAAGAGCACAGGAAGTGCATGTTAGAGGTGTTTTAAGAAGAAGTGTTCTTGGAAGAGATGAGTTTTCAAGAGGTTCTTGAAGTTAGAAGGACACCCCTGCTCTAATGGCATGTGGTAGCTCGTTCCACCAAATTTGCTTTAAATTCTGTGTATAATGAAATGAATTGGGCCTGATAATAAAAATAAGATGAATATAAACAAGAAAAAATACAACACATGCAAAGACCTGGATTCAATTTAGAGAAAAGCTTTCTATAAAGAGTTCAAGGGACAGAGACTCTCAATCACTGTGACCTTGATCTTATTCACCACTTAAACTTCATTATTTTAAGCCTGAACAAAAACACTGTTTAGTATTATGCAATCAACTTCAAAACAGTAGTCCTACAATTTTGCATAGCATTATGAACAGTGTTAAAAACACTGAAGTATATAGTCAGGTTTGCGTAATCCCAGGGAAATGACGATAACCGATATGTAGGCCAAGCCTAAATTTACTTGTGTCTACTACAATGTTTGTGGTTTACAGCATGAATGCCAGACAGAAGAAAAAAACAGTATGCCCCCGGTGGCACTGTGAAATTTGGAGGGAGACGCCAGTCTGATGGGGTGGGACGATGACTGGGAGGCGCCCGCCCTCTCATTAACCCCCCGTTTCCTCCACACCTCTTTGTTTACACCTACACGCCGGTCAAGTCCAGGCAGAAGTGGGCCAGCTCTTGTAGATTTCACTGTGGTCTTGTTGGAACAAAATGTTTGTTTCTGTGCTGAGCTTTGTTTTACTGTTTGGAGTTTCTCATGCTTCCGACACCGGGGCTCCTGCCCAGCTCGGGCCGCCGTCACTCGGGTTCAGGTCCTCAGTGCGCTCCGTGTGTAAACCCATCCCGAGCACCCTGTCTTTGTGCCACGGGATCGGCTACAGGCAGATGCGCATCCCAAACTTACTCGGCCACGATTCACTGAGGGAGGCCCAGCAGCAGTCGGCGGCCTGGCTGCCCCTCATCTCCAAGCTATGCCACCGGGACACCAAGAAGTTCCTGTGCTCGCTGTTCGCTCCGGTGTGTCTGCCGGAGCTCAGCGGGCCGGTCAGCCCCTGCAGGAGCCTGTGCGAGGCCGTGCGGGACGGCTGCGTGCCTGTGATGAGCGCGTTCGGGTTCCCCTGGCCGGAGATGTTCAACTGCACCCGGTTTCCGCGCGCAACCGAGCTCTGTATCCCTGCAACCGGAGAGCTGGAGGGGCGGACGGTAGAGGAGGTCAGGCACGAGGAGGTGCTGAAAGGTCAGTGAACGCATCTGTTGATTTCTGACTTTTTACTTTTTGTTGATTTATTGTCACTCCTCACCTGAGTAAATAGTCCTACAGCTGAACTGTCGGATACATGCTCACCACCAAATACTTTTTATAAGGCCTATAGCAGTGACACTCATGCACACATTTTTGATATATTTTTAAGTTGTACTTAGTAGGCCTACTATGCCAATGTAACAATTATTAAATATAGCCTATTACAGCATGCACTAGGCTATATATTCCTATCCCTACTGCAGTGTGCAATGAAAAGTCACAGTTCTATCAGGCTCTTCAAATGCACTGCACCACCACAGTACTCTCCCTGCATGTATGTTTTCGCACAATGTACAAATTAGTCTGACCGATATCACCGGCCAATACTAGCTTGTCTCAAACAAAAAAAAAATGGTATTGGCATTCATTCCTGCTAATAAGTAAGGAGACATGTCAGTATGTTGAAGATATGTTTGAGTTCATTTGAAAAGTACTTGCATTAGGATATAGTTTGCCCACCAGAGCACCAATAAGTATTTATCAGCAGTAAAATGTTCCCCTCAGCAGACTATATATCTTGTTCACAATTATTTAATAACTAAATTTAAGGGATCCTTACCAAAATGTTTGTTGTTCATTATGCAGTTTTGTTTAAAACATCGGCCTCAACAACTCTCTAATATTGATTTCAGCATAAGTGTCTCCAGTTCATAATCAGTCGGGCTGTAGTAAAAAGCATGTACGTATGTGGCCTCAGGAATTGTGGTGTGCATAATGCACATAGCTTTTGAAAGTAATTTCTTTATTTTATTATTGTTTTCTATTTAATTTAAAACAGTCAATCTGTTTCCTACCTCTTTGACCTGTTTCTTGTGCTGCTATAACAACAGAACATTTACTTTATGCTATCCTGTCTTGAAGTTGTTTTGCCTGCCTTGATCCTGGAGTTTATAACAGTCCCACCAACTTTATAATTATTCTTTTTACATCCCTTCTGTAGACACGCAGTCATCTAATCCCCTACCTCTCTCTTGTCCATCCCCTAGGGAGTGTTATCTGTGATGCCTGTAGTCTGGCTGCTGAAGGAGAGACTGACATCCAGGAAAACTTCTGCCACAGTTCATATGGTGAGAACAAACTCATTTAGATAAAGTAGACTACAAAATACGTCCCTTTCTTTCTTTTGAGAATGGAGAATAACACAGATTAACCTTCTGTAGTATTACTCCAGTACAAAACAAGATATAGAAAGATTGTTTTACAATGCGTCTGCATTGGCACCTGTCAGAACTCTCTCCGTCTCTGTCGCAGCATTTAAGATGCGTCTGGGCAGCGTGTCAACAGTGGGGGGAGACCGTCAGCTGGTGCCTATGGCCCGCAGCCGCATCCTGAGGTGGGCAGGGGGAGGAGCGGAGAAGGCAGAAGGCATTGGCGGCGCAATGGCCCACGGCGCTTTGTGGCTGCAAGAAGGAGGCACCTGTACTTGTCCTGGCCTAGACTCCACAGAGACAAATGAAGACAGGGCGTCAGAGGCAGGACAGATGGATAAGAGACAAACAAAACAAAAAGAAGGAGAAAAGGAGGGGAATGGGGCCCAGGGTGCGTGGTACCTGGCCCTGGCTCAGGCTGAAGAGGGAAGACTGGTGTTGACTCGACTGGTGAGGTGGAGCAGAGGGGACAAAGAGCTGAAGAAGTTCATCAGAGCTCTCCTCAAACAGTCCTGTCCTGAGCTGTAGACTGGAAGTTATCAGCCTTTTCAGTCCCTGCCTGCCCCATGGTCGTTGCTTTGTGGTCGCACGCACTGCTAAATAATGAACTGCTAAATAAATAGTTTCCAAATAACCCAGAATAAATCAAGTGAGCACAATTTTTTAGATACAAGTGATGTCAACGAGTGAACCAGTGTTAAAAGCTTAGTTGATAGCTAACTGTAAATCTGCATACTGGCCACTTTCTTGATGAATTGTTCCTGATTAACTCTGGGTGCTAAATCCCACACAATCGATAACCACTCAAGTCTTTTCTTACTTAGTACGCATTGTTTCGTGTCCCATCAAGTAAATCATATTGAGTTGTTGCCAAATACAACATTACATAAAGAGTTTTTACAGAGAACAATTCATGAATGACAGAGAGCTGGTGTTTGTGTACCTTATTATAATTACCAACTACCCAATAATTCTGGAAATCTCACGCAGGCAGTGATGGTAAAGCATCGTTACAAGTTGTACTACACATGGCGTGCAAAAACTGGGGCAAACTTTTTTTTTTGGTGTACATTTGTGTATATAAAAGAGACAAATTCTAACCCTGTAATCAAAGTGTTGAGTAGTTTTAATAATGATTGCAGGGGTGTAGGCTGATCTCATCACAACTCATAAAACTAATACATATTTAGTTTGAAGCAGTATACTTGTTGTTATTCCTGTAATAGTAAAACATTTCTTCGTATAATACCTAGTTTATCACCATACATATTAAACCGTAAATATAACAGACCTGCACACTTTTGTTTGACATTTTGTTCCACAGCAGCTAAAGCCTCAGTAGCTCGATGAGTGAAAACAGTCACATGTTAGGACGCTATAATCTCAAGTCTGAGGTGCTGAAATGAAAGAAACACAGAAAATGGCATGTAATGTGATAAATAAATAATTTAGATCTGGCTTTGCGCTCTAATTTTATCACATTTATTTCAACCTAGCATATTTCTGATTTAGGTTTTTAAATGTTTGGTTGATTACTTCTTTATTTAGATAAGCCTTGATAAACATTTTGTATTTATAATTACATCCCATTAGATAATATTCCATGAATAAGCTTTTTGTGTGTTTTTTTCTGGATCCTTCCAGCACGACTCTGTGAAGAAAGAAATTTGATCCCACATAGACACACACACCTGTTGCTGTTAAATCGATATATCAAATGTCCTTTTCACACTCTCTCACTGCTTCTGTCCACAGCAACGGTCCTATTCTAAATATCTGGACAAGAAGCTATCTGTGTGATCAAAAATGACAGCAACTAATGTTTAATAGCTGTAGAGTTAGTTATGTTATTATCAGTATTTGTTGACTGGAAACAATTAGAGACATATACTGTCATGCACGTGGTACATAAATTATTCACATCCCCAGGTCTCTTACACACACACGTCTCCATCTTTTTGCACTTGTCCCCGCTGAAGAGCCACTTTCATCTTCGTTGTCGTCAGCGCTGCTGCTCTGCTTTCACCAGACTTCTTACAAAACAGGTGAGTATGTATGTTTTTCACACAACCGTAAGAGAGAGTTTATTTTAATGCAAATAATTCAATCATAGCATATGTTCTGTGTGTGGTGCAGAAAGCCTGTGGAGTTTAAAGTTACCTGAGGCAGAGAGGCACAGCGCTTCCTCTCACATCTACCCCAGGACTTCAGCATGAAAGATTGTTCCTGAGTTAGTCTCAAAATGTGGTTAATGTATTAGAAACTTCAGGTAAAGATGATTCCATTAATAAACTACTCTGTTTTCAGTCTCACAAAGGTCTTATAATAGCCATTCTTTTATTCTAAAATCTACCTTACAAGGATGTTTTCTTTTTCTGCATTAATTACAGATCTTTTGTAAATTGTGAGTGATCTTTTGGTAGTTCTGCCATAATGAATGAATAGCTTTGATCATTTAGCACATGGGACATTGTAAAAGCACCGGCAGCTGCAGTGCCTTGATGCCCAGAAAGAGTTGTGAAGTCACGATTGCCCATATTCGTGACAAATGACGATAAATGATCTTTCTGCAGTGGACACTTTGAGAGAAAAACTTTTTGCACTTTCAACACACAATGGCAGTATGTGTTTCTGATAATTGCAAACTTTAACTGACTTGAGTATGAGAGGAAGGTTCAAAGCTCTTGCAGCACTGATGGAAGGTTGTAGCAGGGTTTGGGACTAAAGTCTTACTGCACTTGAAAACATATCAGAAGGGAAAACGATTATATGCGACTATAATAAAATCCGCCTTTTTGTTGATCCACATGACAAAATGCACCCACCCTAAAAACTACTAAATAGGTCAGACTTAGGGAGAACCATGTTTCTTATCTGTCACCCCCTTTCAAGAAAGGCATCAATATTCAAGTGAATGCATAATATAATAAGAAATATGACTTTGACACATCAAATGCTGATGACATGCACTAAAAACTAGTTTTTAAATTAGTCTTTGCAGTCTGGACTGTTTAAATGGCGCTGTCATATCCATTCACCTATTTAACAACTGCTAAACTGATGAATTTCTTGGGGCCACTGGGTAGTTAGTATTAGGGTAGTTTAGCTCTTAGGGTTTTCTGTATGTAGGTTAGAAATGATACTGTAGATGACGTGTTTTATTTGATTGTGGTATGTGCTTAGTGTCTGAGACCCTACATACAAGGTTCAGATAGCTTACCAAAAAAAGAGGTGATTTGTTGTCTGATAAAGTTGTCCTTTGTTCTCATATTACCTTCTCATCTAATGCCAACCAGAAATGACAAAATCCTAGTTTCAAACAAGACAGAAGCTGTTGCTTTCTTACACTGCAGGGCAGCACAGTTAGATTTAAAATACAATACACCAAAGTAGCCCATGAATGAAAAAGCAACAGAGTAGGGAGACAGAAGCAGCTTCAGTGAATTGCTGAAACAACATTCATGTAAATTTTTGTTTAAAGGGTACATGAATACATGCCATCAACCTCATTAAAACAAGTATAAATACATATTGTAAGTTTACATAAACAACACTCTACCTCCATTTTTGAACATAATTGTCTAATGAATCTACTCGGGTGTATGCGTTTTTCTTTACCAGCTGCGATGGTGTCTCCTGCTATCGCTCTGGCCTTCCTTCCCCTCCTGCTGACACTGATTATCAGGTACCGCTACTACTTTGTGCTGTTCTATCGTGCGTTCCTGGTCAGGGCATGGAGGGACTGTGTAACTGGTCTGACCCGAGAGGAACGTGCCTACCAGTATATTCTCACTCATGCCACCCCCGGAGACCCAGATAGTATTCTGGATACCTTTGATGTCTGGTGCAGCAAGGTGGAGTTCATCAGCAACATTGGGCCTAAAAAAGGTGAGGAGATCATTTACCGTACACAAGCATTTATCTGTTTATGAGTATGGTTTTACATGTTTGGTTTCTCTGTGTGTAGGGAAGATCCTGGACCGGCTGCTGACGGAGCAGAGTCCTCTGACAGTGCTGGAGCTGGGTTCCCACTGCGGGTACAACACTGTGCGGATCGCCCGGGCCCTGCCCCTGGGTGCCAGGCTCTACAGTGTCGAGATGGACCAGACGAACGCTGCCATCAGTGAGAAAATCATCCGCCTGGCCGGGTTTGACGATGACACAGTAAGAGAGCAGAAACATGCAACCCATCTATTAAATGCACGTGTACTGTGGGCCTTTTGATAAAAGCCTGATGCCATCACCATTATTTGTTTTTACATAAATCTGGGACATTTATTACTTTTTTTATTTCTTTATTATGTCTGAATATGGAAAGTATTCTACCTTTGAGACATCCATTCTGTGCATTCTTCAGGTGGAGCTCATTGTGAACCCATCTGATGAGGTGATCCCTAAGCTGCGGTCTGATTATGGTGTGGAAAGGCTTGATTTTGTCTTCATGGACCACTGGAAGAAATGCTACGCACCTGATCTGCAGGTGACTAGAATAAATCATTAGTACATTTACATGTGAATTAAAATCCTGTTTTATAGTTTATTGCCATGTCTGTCATATGGCTGGTTGGAAGTAAAAAATTGCACTGCGGTAGTTAAAAAAAAACTATTAAGGTACTTTAGTAATGCAACTGTTCTTAAATAAATGTTATGTTTCTCAGTAACATGGTACTGCCTCTGTGTGTGTTGCAGATGCTGGAGGGCTCTGGTCTGCTGGGAAAAGGATCCATGATCGTGGCCGACAACGTGCTGTTCCCTGGGGCTCCAAAATTCCTCAGACACATTCGCAAGAGCGGTCTATATCAGTGGAAGGTCCACCGGGCCACACTGGAGTACAGCAAAGGCATCAGGGACGGGATGGCTGAGCTGGTGTATCAGGGCATCAAGTAGATCATGCAGACTGGGATATCACACACTGTTACCCAGATACACATTTTTGGAGTGGGAGTTGGTGAATTGATGATGGTATAGCCCGTGTTAAAACACGTTTTAAATAGAGATTAAAGAAAGGTTGCAAAAAAAGATGATGGTAAATTCTTCTCTAAAACATTACTTTCAGCTGTAGCATCTCAGTGAAAGAAAAAAGAAATTGTAATCATTTAGTAACCCCTTGTGCGACCACTAGTCTGCCAGGGATCTTTGTCATTTGACACCTCCCCCCACTGTCATTCCCTTCCTTTCAGCTAAATAGCTAATAAAAACACAAATATCACAGAAGATTCTTCAAAAATACCATGTTTATTTAAACAAAACTGCCAAGTTTGAACAAAAATAAAAGACCACAAGAGCAAATTCATTAAATATGTCACACAAATGAAGCCCAATGACATTGTCATTTTTGGTAATAATAAATGTATTTACAAGGTTAATATTGAAAACTATTGTATGTGACCATTACCTGTTAAAATATTTTATATGTTACATTCACTTACATCAAGTGAATTTGGGACATTGGCAACACCCAAATCATAAATTACACCAGATTACAACTTATCAGTACTGGACTCTGGAGTTCTTGTATCTCACTTAACAGTGAATTACACTTAATCCAACACACAACCCTCACTACCATGTTACATTTTGTGTTTGTTTTAAATTGTAGAAAAACATAGTTTTATCAAAATGATTTAAATTGATGCAAATAGTCAAGGCTTCTGTTAATTTCAGTACATCTCAGCCACGATAAGCAATCCTTTAAGATAAACATGAGAGACACTGGGCACTGTGTGAGTTCATATTTCAATAAACATTCTTCAATGCTAATGGCTACTTTTATCTCTGACACACCTAAAGAATATTAAAATGTATTTCAAGAAGAACTGGTGCATTGTCTGAACATAACACTATTTCACAAGCTTTTATGAAAGTTCTGATATCTGTAACAAAAGATTAGCAGCATACATGGCACTGCAATTAAACCGAACTGGACTATATGGTGAAGTATGTGTAAGTCGCCACCATAGGTAACAAAATTATTTCGCTGACTGAACTGTTGTTTGTGCCCTGTCAGCTGTTTGGCGACTCTCTGAGTAGTGTCACATGACTGAACATTTGACACGGTCAAAGTTTAAACGAGAGCTCTCTGGGCTTTGGCCCATGGCTGCCACTGTGTGGGTGTGTCTCCGACTAGTTACAAAACGGCAAGACTTTGTGTGTGTGCGTGCGTGTGTGTGTGTGCGTGTGTGTGCGTGTGTGTGTGCGTGTGTGTGCGCGCGTGTGTGTGTGCGTGTGTGTGTGTGTGTGTGTGTGTGTGCGTGTGTGTGCGCGCGTGTGTGTGCGTGTGTGTGTGTGTGCGTGTTAGAGCAGGAGAGGCTTGTGGAAACTCTTTGTTTGGACTGAATGGTTAAATGTATTTGACAGGTTCACACACTGCCGCTAAAAGAAAAGAAAGAAAAACAGGTGCACAGGCGCGCAAACACACATCCATGCGAGTATTTTAACAATGTGGACATGTGCCAGGAAGCAACACTCACAGCGATGTCCAACAACCTCCCACGCCTTCAAGGCCAACTGCAGCTTGACATGAGGCGCTCGTGCTGGATTTACCCAAACTCCCTCTGAAGGATATCATTGTATAATCCTTGATTTTTCTTTATTCCTTTCCTGTTTATACAAATAAAAAATATAGATCTATGCCCCAGGCTGAAGGGTCATGTTTAAATGGGGAGTAGAAATCCAGTGCAAGACAGCTTCATGGAGACTAACATTGTCTTTAAATCATCCACTGGTCTTGGTCTTGGTCTGGTCCCTCCATGTCCACCTGACAGAAAGAAACCAGCCAGATTAAGACTATTATTTGTGTGATTAAGATAAATTCCAGTGTATTTTTGATATTTAGTAAGTGTGCCTTCAATTAGAAAACATATTTTAAACAAAATCTAAGTCAGGTGCTGTTAGAAAATGTATTCCTTCCACTTCTTCACAGCGTCAAGCCACATGTTTGCTCCGGTTAACAATGTTAATGTTACAATCTAGTTGGCCTCAGTCGTTTGCTGCAGGGCAGGGAAAAGACCAATCATAAATCAAAGCACCTCGTTTATCTCGCCGTCATCAGGTGACTCGTTGTAGTCATTCATCTCATCCATGTCCTGCATGTCTTCTTCGTCTTCTGAGTCTTCCTCGCTGTCCTCCTCATCCTCGTCGTCCTCCTCTTCCTCTTCATCATATCCTGCCTGCGCCACAGTAAAGGCATAATTGGAGGGAAATAATGCAATAATGCAGTGTATGTTTCATACTATGGCATGGTGAAACTCAGCTTAACATCTGTTGATTACATCCTAAAGGCAACACATTACCTCAAAAATAGGTTTCCCTATAGGCATCAGGTTGTTGTCCTTCTCCGCAATGCTCTGCAGCTGAGGGAGAGACAGAGTGCTGCACATTAAACTATGAGCACGAAGACAGGGAGACACAGATTATAGACCAGTGGCCTGTACTACGAAAGGAGTTCAACCTACTCAGTGAACCCGGGGTTATCAGGCAAACTCAGGGCTGACAAACTCTGACCACCTACACTGGTGTTAAATGGTACTACGACAGTGGATAAGATGTTGGTTAGTTGAGTAGGTGTTAACCCTGTGTTAACTTCATTGGAGTTGTTGAGCGTTCGCATAAAATGGGTGTGTTCGGCAGTGCAGGCAGAGTTTTTTCACAACGGCGCATGATCCGTATTTTCTCCAGAAGAATGCACGTTGATTGTGTCAGGATATGAGGAGTTTAAAGACAGTTTAACGGCTAAATCTAATATTGTGACAGCCGAGGCAGGCTTGTTTGCATCGCGTTGACTAAACTTGTAGCCTAATTATCTTCACAGTGTTCTTATTGTAGTTCAAATCTCTAGGCTATTATATATTTTATGGGCTCTTCTTTTATGTTTAACATGATTAAGATGTAAAGGTACAGCTGCATATAAGGTCCATTGTAGTAGCAAAAAAGGAGCCAGTGGAGAGGGGTAATAATTCAAGACAAAATTTAATTTCCAAGATTAATCTACAAGTAAAAAACTTATATATTATATAATTATATTCTCTGACATTATAGTCACACATTTATGAGAGAAGCTTCACTTTGCAAGGCTGCAGGGCTCGCTGTATGAACGTAATGCTATTGTGTTAACAATAACTTCATTTCAGCTGCAACCGCAGTGGAACAAGTCAGGATGAAATCAAAAAATATTTTATCAAGTGGTGTGTGTTAATATCCTACTACTCATCATTAACACTGGGTACAGATGTGGTGTGTATCCACGTGCAGGGTAACCTTGAATTAACCACAAACAAAACCTTCTTGGAGCAGTTTAGAGATGCAGCGTAAATTGCCATGGCAACAGACCTCGGGTAACACATATCCACCTTTCGGAGTACGGGTCAATCAGGAAGTTAGACCCGACGTCACAAAGTTACTCCTGAAGTTAACTGGATAAGCCAGTTACCCCGATTCATAGTACAGGCCACAGCTATGTGCAGCTTTAACACAAACACACACTACTTAACTTAAAAGCACAGACTGTATAACACCCAGTGCCCATCAGAAATTATCTTATAGTGAGTTAACGTTATTACACCAACACCAATCACCAGGTTAAGTTGACACTTAGCCGTAAATAGCTTTTGTTTATGACAGTTTTACATCTTATATGGCTATAGGAGTACTTTAATATGAAAACATGTATTACAAAATTGTAGAATTCTTAAAAAAGACCAATTTTTCCTATAAGGATTGCCAAATGTAGCACAAGTTTGCATTTCTGTGACTCTGTTCTGTCCAGTTTGTCACATAGATAATGTTGTGAAGACTGTCATGGTCATGAGTTTGAGTCATTCTTAACTTTATCTACCTGCCAGATGTGTTGATGAGTTTTTAGGTGTTTTATTTCAGACTGTTATTTTCATAAAAAATGAAGGACTGGCCAACTTGTCATAACCTGCATGGAACTACATGCCTCTAAAGTATGTATTCTAGATGAAAGTGCCATTAACTTATCAGCAAATATATAATACAATATATCAGCAGCTTTGTTTCCAGCAAAACATGACCCTGTTTCATTTCTACTCATTATTCCTTTTAAAAACTCAGGGAGACACTTTCTACATTTTTCTGCTTGTAGATCTGATAAAACCTCTCTCTCAAGGTCAGGGTTGTTTTGTTCAAAGAAGCCCTGTAATGATACATAATAATACACTGGCAAGAATGACAAGAGCACGAAGGGAACTGACCAGAAACAAGAGGAAAATACCAAAGTGAAACAGAAAACGAAGAATAAATGACAAAATGACAGGAGGAAATAAATAAATAAACACACGCGCGCGCGCGCGCGCACACACACACAAGTGGATGGATTACCAAAACACAACAGGAAATTCCGTGTGTTTCAGCAGGGGTGCTTACCCAGGTTTGGTGCTGCTGCTCCTGCTGGTGCAGCTCAGTCTCGTCCACACAGGGTCGGTCCAAGTTGAACCACAGGGACTCCGTTATCCGGGGGAAGAGAGAGGGGAACAGTGTGGACATGTCGAACACGAACAACAGCGTCAACCAGCTTTGTGCAGCTTTCACACAAACATACACTACTTAACTTAAAAGCACAGACTCTACAACACCCAGGTCTTCACGAAGGAGTTATAAGGTATGTTAAAGTGTCGGAGACTGGCGTAGGGGCACGGTAACGTTAAGTTAGAATAACAGTCGTTAAAGTACGATTTATATTCGTCCTGTTTAATGATATCCGATCTCTAAAATGTGATATCACCTTCGCGAATCTTGTAGGTAAAAAATATGGTAATATAATAAGCTGTTTTAGCCTTAATGCACAGCAAAATAATAGCTGGTGTAAGTACCTGTCAATCCCTAGCTCCAGCTTTCAAAAAATTCAAAATAAATCCGACCGGAAACCGCTGATGTTCACCTGCAAATGTTTCCGGAGTCCTCTAGTCCCATGTCACTTCACAAAGGTTCCGCTTGAGAGGCAGGAGTAGAGACAGGAAAGTGAAGCAAAACAAGAATGTACTTTGGCTAGTATCTAGGGCGGTTCTAAGGGGGTATTATATTGAGCAATGACCCTCTTCTTGGACTGCACTTGGCAGAAGTTTGTCCTCAGGCCTTTCTGCCCGAAGGCCTTTTACACAAAAACAGGACTTTTCGCTAAAGCTGTTCTTGCGGAAAGTCAACGTCAAGTTATTATTTTACCCAAACTGTGATCTTTTCTTAAACCTAACCAAGTAATTTTGGTGCCTAAACTGAAAATAATGAAATTGTAAGTCAACGTTGACATTTCCATTTAGCCAAAAAATACACTTTATACCTTTTATACATTTCAAGTATTCACTATATATATAACATGAGTCTGGACAGACGTGTAGAGGTTGATTGGTTGGTGGAGGAAAATACAGCAGCAGTAGGGCGGTATTTCTATTTTTTTAAGTTCTTGGAAGTTGAGAGAACAGGAGCATGCAAAGGCTTAAAAAAGTAGTCTGAGGCGATACCACGCATATACTAGGCCTACGCAGTAAAATTAAAGCAAAATTAACAGTCAACATTTAAAACTCTTACTTTTAAATTGTCTATATTTTGTCAAATTTTTACTCTATTATCGAGTTAAAATTTAATACTTCCTAAAACCGACCAGTGTTTTTCTTAACACTTTTATGTAGTGTTTGACTTTAACTCTCTCAGAGGATAATTTGTTAACTACACAAGTATTAGCCCCATAACATTTTAAAGCTCTAAATATAGGTCTTCCATATTCCTAAAAAAAAAAATAGTACTTGTAAAGTAAAGTTTGCAAAATAAAGACCGTCATGTTTAGTGTTTTAAAACATTTATTTTAACACTTGCACCTCAAAGAATTTGATTAAATTACATTAAAAAATGTAACTTAATGAACAGATTAGGCATGCATGCTAACTGCTAGCTCGTTAAACAGGTGTTAGGGTGGCTAGTAACAGACATAAGTTTAAGTTATGATGGCTCAATGTGGTAAAAATTTTGACCGTGATCAAAATTTTGACCACACTCCCTAGTTTCGCAGCAGTCAGTGAAGTGCTTTCATGAAGACTCTCCTGGCTTCAGCATACAGGTGTGTGTAGGCCTACACACACACACTTGTGTGTTTGTAACATAAACACTTCAAGTGTAAAAGCCAGAATCAGAGTTAAGAGTAAGAAGTTCAAAGTTAATATTTATACAATTACACTTACAGGTTTGATGTAGTGACACATTGTTTTTACACTCGGTTTTGACACCAACTACTATCAATTAAAAAATATAATGGATTTTAATTATTATTAACTCTGCTGTTATTCATATTTCACTAATTTAACTCTTCTCAATTTGCTGTGTACATACGTTTGAACACTTGTTATCATGAAAATGTATAAGTTTGTAGTGGCGGTTCGGGGTTGAGAACCATAGTAAATGACCATTATAAGGGAATTTTCTTTTATCTGTGAACCTGACTACTTAAGAGTATTTATTTTGTACTTTATTAATTGCATTGTAAATAAATCTAAAACACAAAACTGTATCTAATCAATTCCCATTCTTTTCACACAGAATATGGTAAATGTAGGAACTGAAGCTGCCAAAGTTGCCAAAGCAAGGCTAATAACAAAAGATGCTTGTGGACATATCTTAAATATAGAAATTCAAAACCCTTATTTTTATTACGCATCACACACACACACACATTTTTACACTGTTTAAATTTTCATCACGAGTTCCAAGAAAGACAAGAAAGAAACTTATCTTAACTGCTACCTCTTTACCCAGGTCACAATGCCATTTCACACTAGATGTCCATTGCGTATGTGTGTGTGTGTGTGTGTGTGTGTGTGTGTGTGTGTGTGTGTGTGTGTGTGTGTGGGAGTGTGCGCGCGTGTGTGTGTGTTTGTGTGTGTGTGAGAGAGAGAGCAGGATAGACCTTGAGATAAGACAAACCTTCCTCACCGTAAGACATAATAAAACAGATTATTGTATAGGCACTACCGCTTACTCGTTCTTTCTCTCTATCTCAGAAACACACACACACGAACACACACAAGGCAGACTTTAGACTTTGGAGTAATTTAATTGAGGGTACAGCATGTTTTCAAAGTTTACTTGTATTAGAGGCAACCTTGTTTTCAGTCACACTCTCCTCACATGCTCGCACACAAAAAACGCGCAGAAGTCTCGTTTGGTCTTGACACGTGTGTAAGAGGTGACTGGAGATACTGATTTGTAGGATCATCCCTCCAGGAAGGAATCATTACCAGATCTCACAAGGTAAAGTGAATCTTATCATCTTTGCTTGTACAAAATCTTCTCATTGATCTTAAAATGGTTGTTAAACTATTTGATTCACAGTGTCTTTGTAGCTGCTTTCCATTGGATTTGTTTTAGGTTACATTCAGGAGCACTGGTGTATAAATAGATTCTCGGTAACAGTGTCTTTGCGTTTTTTCCCAAACATTTGTCACATAAATGAAAAAGAAACAAAATAAAACAAATACTTTTATTTTAAAGTGAAAACCATCCAATGCAGATTTTTGGGAAGGATTTTATTTTATTTTATTTAATAAAAGTTTTTTAAATTTTACCACCTGAATAAATGTTTCACTGAGGCAGTGCCCATCAAATATGATCTTATAGTGAGTTAACGTTATTACACCAACACCAATCACCAGGTTAAGTTGACACTTAGCTGTAAATAGCTTTTGTTTACGACAGTTTTACATCTTATATGGCTATAGGAGTACTTTAATATGAAAACATGTATTACAAAATTGTAGAATTCTTAAAAAAGACCACATTTTCCTATAAGGATTGGCAAATGTAGCACAAGTTTGCATTTCTGTGACTCTGTTCTGTCCAGTTTGTCACATAGAAAATTTTGTGAAGACTGTCATGGTCATGAGTTTGAGTCATTCTTAACTTTATCTGTCTGCCAGATGTGTTGATGAGTTTTTAGGTGTTGTATGTCAGACTGTAATTTTTAATTAAAAAATGGCCAACTTGTCATAACCTACATGGAACTACATGCCTCTAAAGTATGTATTCTAGATGAAAGTGCCATTAACTTATCAGCAAATATATAATCTAATAGTGAATATCAGCAGCTCTGTTTCTAGCAAAATACCCCAAACCATGACCCTGTTTTACATTTCTACTCATTATTCCTTTACAAAACTCAGCGAGACACTTTCTACTTTCTCTCAAGGTCAGGGTTGTTTTGTTCAAAGAAGCCCTGTAATGATACATAATAATACACTAATAATATGTTAAAAAGGAAATGTTGGCAAAAACTTAAATCAGCATTTCTTTCCCATGCAACAATACCACAGTCGGCGCTTTCCCCCAGACACTTGACCACAAAAGGAGTCCAGATAGATTGGGTTTGGTTTGGGAGTTTCTGGGTCCTTATCATAGGCCTGCTAAATGCAGTCTAGACAGGTGTTGAGAAACACCAAAATTATTAAATGAAGATATTAAAATGTGAAACAGGCCATCACAACCCAGACAAATGCCAGCTAGATGGTACGGAGTGACCGAGGTGGACAAAGTACCGCCTATGTGTGTTGTACTCATAATAGAAGTTACAGGGCACCCCCGTGACAAGGAATTAGCACTGTAAATTGGCTGTCATCCCATTATTTTTCTTGTTTTTTACACAAGAACGTCACATTGATGTATGTTAATGCCTCCCTGCTGCAGAGCCATGTCGGTTGTCCTGCCCTTGCTGCTAGCCCTCTCCAGTGGCGCTCTCTGTCTGGACAAACTCAATATGTGTATGGACGGCAAACACCACAAAGTAGAGCCTGGTCCTGAGGGACAACTTTACCTCCAGGTGAGGAATACAAATGCCCCCAGACATCAAAGATAAAACCATTCAAATGGGTGTGATGCCGTTTTCTCATCAGGCGTTTCTGTTCCCTCGGCCGATCCAGACACAGGACTTAAAATAAACATTTTCAGTTCAGCAGGATGAAGTGACCCCTCTTTCCTCTTCCTCTTTCCAGTGTGCTCCGTGGCGTGACAATGCATGTTGTATGGCCAACACCAGCGCAGAAGCCCACAATGATACATCCTACCTGTACAACTTCAACTGGAATCACTGTGGCACCATGAGCCGCGATTGCAAGAAACATTTCATTCAAGACACTTGCTTCTACGAGTGCTCACCACACTTGGGACCCTGGATACAAGCAGTATGTGTTGTGTGCTCTCAGTCTCTCGTGTGTACTCAGACTCAACACTAGATGGCAGCATAAGAGGTTGAGAGGGTTTGTCAGGATATGGTCAGGATAGTGAAATCCATTTGTACTGTTTAGCATTTTGCCATTATTCATTAAAGTAATTAAAAGATAACACAGGTTTAATTTGTAGAGACCTTTATAACTCACCTGACAGATCATAGCATTTTAACTGCAAGGGAAAAGAGTTTAATTCTAAATATGACTTGTGGTCTGAAACTATGGATCATACAAACGAGTCAGACGCGTGTGTGTGTGTGTGTGTGTGTGTGTGTGTGTGTGTGTGTAGGTGGATCAGAACTGGCGTAAGGAGCGTATCTTGGATGTGCCTCTCTGTAAGGAGGACTGCCACAATTGGTGGGAAGACTGCAAGAATGATTACACCTGCAAGACTGATTGGCACAAGGGATGGGACTGGAACTCAGGTACTACACACACACACACACACACACACACACACACACACACACACACACACACACACACACACACACACACACACACACACACACACACACACCTTTGCATGCACATTTACACACTTATCTTACACATAAAGCCAACCCTTATGACTATATGCACACAGTACCATGCACTCACTTTCACTACACTATTCTAACTGGTTGCTAGGCCATTACTGAATTTAGATCAAATCCAATTACTTGAGAAATAGCTGTGATTGTTATTTGCACTCTTTCTAATCCCCTGCTCTGTCATAAACACTCTCTCCCTCTCCCTTTCCACCATTACAGGTATTAACAAATGCCCTGAAGGCAGCAAATGCAGAAAGTGGACCGAGGTTTACCCTACACCCCAGTCCATGTGTGAACAAATCTGGTCCAACTCCTACCTTTATACCACCTACACCAATACCTCAGGCCGCTGCATGCAGCTCTGGTTCACCGGGCCAAACCCGAACAAGAAGGTGGCGGAGTACTACCTTAATAACGCACAGCAACGACAGAGCGTTGCCTTGACAACGCTGCTTTTCCTGGCTTTCGCATCTGCAAAGATGAACTAAAATGATATCCTTGGACCAATCCTGTATCACCTTGGAGGTATCAATAAAACTGATTTCAAATTTTTGTTGCTTTTCAGTCCTCTTTTGAGTCACTGAGCCATTTAATTGATAATAACTCTGGTTTTCACCCTAATGAACTGCTTGTTGTTTCTGCGTACAGTTTCACATATATTATTGTTGATTTTCTGCTTGAATATTATGTTTGCGTGCTACACATGTATATCTAACCTAGTTGAAAGCACAATTACTAAAGAAAAAGATGCACTGTCTACTGTATATTTCCACATGGGCTGTATAGTTTTACATTACATTACATTACATTAATAAAATAAATTTTTAACATGTTTTCATCTGCATCTGGATCCAGATCCGCCTCAGAATACTAGTCCATATACTCTTCTGGGTCCATTTATCTGTGTTTTACAGTTCCTTGTGCTTTTCTTCCCACCCTTCTTAGTTTATTATTTTCCAGCCAACCACTGAGCCTGTGTTCATGAAGCTGTGATTTGCTACACAGACATTGGCAAATGAATAAATGGGAAAAATCAAGCTGAAGAAATACTGAGCAGCGAAAAAGGAGAGTTGATGAACTCTCCTTTTTTGGGAACATGCAGTGTATCGCTTTCTCCGTCAGGATGAACAATACAGCAGTGGCCTACAGAATTAATCACACAAAAACAAGATTATAGTTTCACCACTGAAATGTAAAAGTAATCAACTTAACATGTAGGTAGAGAAATTCAAACTAAACTAAACGGTGCATCTGGACAAGACATGAAGGCCACATACTTTATCACTAGACAGCTCTGGGATGATATTTCTCTGTGGATCAGTTTAAAATCCCTTCATAACCTCAACCCACAGAGAGGAAACAGTCAAACTGATCCAGGATCTGCACTGAGGCAAACTGTTTCTCTACAGTGATACAGGGCCCCAGTGATCACACCGTCACATGACCAATCTGGGCCAGCTAGTGGTTAGTGGGCTCCGCTGGTTGGTAATTATGGAGTTCCAGTCCCCTGAGTGTGTGACAGAGAGAGGGAGAGAAAGAAAGAGAGAGAGAGTGTAAGGGTGTGTTAATGTCTCTCTTTCTCCCCTATATGTTTAAGTGTGTTTATCTGTCACACAATCTCTATCTGGGTGTGTGCGTGTGTCAGTGCCACGTCTGAATGTGTTTTATCAGGTCTTTGAATAAGTCTTGTGATTGGTTACCAAGATGTGACCAGTGAGGACCTTGGCAGGTCAGAGATAAGTTGAAGATATATATAATTAATTTCGTTTTTCAAAAGACATAACTGATGCAGTCGACAGTATCTTAATATTTTGAAAATGTGGCCTCACGTTCTGACAGAGTTCAGACAAAGTGTCAAAGTGGTGGTGCTGTGTTTCTGACGCTGATAATAGTGTCCTTCCTTATGATAACACTGTATAATTTAGCATTGCAAGTTCAGCTGTGAACCCCAGACTAATCTTTCCTGTCTCGTTTCTCTGTGTGAACAGTGTGCATAAAGCTCCCATACAGATAGAGAGGTGGCCTTGCACGGGGCCATCCTGTTGCAGAGGTTTGGTAATATTGGAGCCATAACTCACCCAACGGTTTTATCCAAATATGAGCCTAACAGTGCTCCAGCATGGTAACACCTAAAAGAAAACTTGATAGGAGCCGTTTCAACAAACACCAATAATTGTTTCCATAATCCCATCAGTTTACACACTGAGGTTTACATCACCTTAAACATATTTCCCCACTTACCTCTAAGAACTGTCTTCAGGCATCTAAAGCTGCTGACTGCAAGTGTTACTTATCACAAATGTAAGTCACACATGAACTGCGCAATAATGTGTGAGGGCAAGAATACGCACATTTACCAAATTAACATTACATAGGTTTTTAGCTATCTTTTATGAAGATGTTTGGTGATGTGAGAAATCCATTCTAGTTTTCTTTTCAGATGCTTACATAATATTTAAGGCATGCATATTATTTTCATTTGCCAGATATCATAGAAACAAATTGGCATTCTATGACTACTAGTCCAACTTGGATGTTGATAGGAACAATATTTACAAGTTGGAAAATATTTAACTTCCAGATGACATACTATGCCAAACGATATGCTAACATACTGTAGAATATAGCTATATATAGCTAAGAATACTATGAGTAGCTGCGTCTAACTGCAAAGGGAGCGCTAAGCCTGACAAAGTAAAACTAGACTAATGAAAGTCCAACAATGTAAAGCTGAGCCTGACAAACTGATTCTGTGATGTCCACACAGTGTAGTGTGGCCTCGATACAGAGGCCTAAAGTGACGCTATTGCCACTGTATAGGCAACAACATGGTCTGTTTTATTGGCTCCGCCCTCAAGCCCAACTTTACAAAATTTGAAGAATAGCAAAGTTGTGTATCCAATACTCATCCATCCAACAATGTGGTTTTTGAGTTTGTAATGAGCATCACAGCCTCACTGTGCACTCTCACTTCAGTGTTAGCAAAGATGCAGAAGTTTGCAGCATACTTTTACTTTTACATATTGTTAAGCCACATACTTTTACAGTCTTTTACAGTCGACTCACACACACACACACACACACACACACACACACACACACACACACACACACACACACAGAGTGTGATGCCATACCCAGGAATAGCACTGGGATGGCTGCTGTCCCTGTGGCTATTAATACTCACTTTTTCTGAGGGCATTGGCAACACACACCACCCTGCCCAACTCTCACCCTCTCTCCCTCACTTTAACTCTACCTCTCTCATGCTTTGTGTGTGTACGTGTATCCGTACCACATTTTAGGAGTCAGACTTTTTGTGGGCAATTAGAGAGAAAAAAAGGCTACGGTCAGAATAATGTGCAACTGTCTCTAAATGTTGGGTTGGCTGTTGCCAGTCTGGCCCATAGGTGGACACCTTGTGGGAGTGTGTGTGTGTGGTCTCGAAAAGAAAAAGATTGCATAACTGGATTGGCGCTTGTGTTGAGAAATGACTGCAGCCTGGCCTCCTCTATGGCTACAGGTCACACTGATATTCAAAGAGGAAAGCCCTCTGGCACACGTGAAGGCTTTGACCATGTAGGATACAACTGTTACGACAAAAAAGCAAAGAGGGAGCAAACAAGGTTATATTTGAGGATTTGCAAAGAGAAGGTGATATACATGAGATATCGGTAGCTGCAATATAGTTGTGGTTTTAGTTTGGTTTTAATCTGCTAGAAAATCCTCAGTTTATTCTAAATTGTGTAAGCCTGCTTGCAGCTACAGAAACTTGAGCACATGCCAAGTGCCGACAGGATATAGGATTGGTTGGTACTCCAACAAAGGGGGGAACTGAACCTTATTTCCCCCTTTTCAGTGTGGAAGAAGTACTTGGATCACTTATTTAAATAAAACTAGCAATACCTCTTTGTTAAAGTACAAGGTAAAGCCCTGCATTTAATATGTTACCTTCCTAAAAGTACTGTATTATGACAAAAAATATACTTAAAGTATTAAAAGTTAAAGTACTTTCAGAGTGTTATATTATTATACTGTATATCATCACATACCAAAGATACATTAAGGTGTACAAAGCATTTTAATGTAGCACCTAATTCTAACTATTTTACACAATGTTGCGTGGTTCAATCTATAACAATTATTTATTGATCATATGTCCATCCATCGTCAACCACTTATCCTGCGTCGCTCCAGCGGGGGGCTGGAGCCAATCCCAGCTGACATCAGACAGGTTGCCAGTCTATCCACACATAGACAGACAACCACAGTTTAGGGTCACCAATCAACCCGGAGAGAACATGCATACTCCACACAGAAAGGCTAGGGAAACCGGTGTTTGAACCCACGACCTTCTTGCTGACCACTGAACCATCGCTCCGCCCACTGATCATATGTTTTGCATGAAAAACATGAACCTGCATATTGTAACTAAAGCTCTCAGATAATTGTAGTGGATTAAAAAGTGAAAATCTTCTCTTTGAATGTAAGAGAAAAGAAGTATACCTAATTTGTACAGTAGATGAGTAAATGTAGTCACTTTCCATCCCTCCTCCATTCCTTTCCTCCTCTCCCTCTCTATTTAGCCATCCCAGTGTCTCTCTAACCCTCCATCCCTCCTTCACAGAGAGCTCTGTCAATCTCGCTAGATAAAGTCATATCAGGAAACAAACTGGGTGATTTTATTCCTGAAATAAAGTGTCTCAATGTGAATTTATCATCAGCCTGTTTTATTTTGAAACGCCCAGCAGGAAGTCGTATATAGCGACACTCGGCCTTTGACGCGGGTCTTCCCCGCTGTTGCTCCCCGGTCTCCGGAGTGGATTTACATACCCTGATTTCCGTGGGACTGGGAAGCGAAAGAGGAGGGTGACGAGCCTTTCAGGAACTGAGGAAACTGCCACAAGCAGCGTAATTTAACAAATGTAAAACTTGTAGCCCCGTCGTCGGTTCTCTCGCGCCTCCTAGCCTCCGTCGGAATAACGTTTACGCCGAGTTACTTTGTCTTTCGGCTCTCGACTCACTGGATTATTTCTGTAGTCTGGAGGAGGAGGGCTGGGAGGTTTTCGGAGAAGTCTGGAAGCAGCTTGAGTTAAACCCGGTTTGAAGGGCTGTGGTCATGGCCGGGGGTGGTGGAGGAGGTGGTGGGGTTTCTCCGTTGGGGCCCGCACCGCCGATGTGGTATCACCGGGACCTGAGTCGAGCTGCTGCCGAGGAGCTGCTTGCTCGGGCCGGGAGAGACGGCAGCTTCCTGGTGCGGGACAGTGAGAGTGTCAACGGGGCTTACGCTTTGTGTGTACTGTAAGTAACTCTTAACTTGTGTGTGCGGCCTGCTTTTCCCATGTTTACCAGGAAACGACATGGCTTTGCCGACAGTTTAAATTAAGTGAACAGCTAGCACATGTCTTCAGGGGGTCTTGGGTTTTGTGTTGAAGCCACTGCCTAGTCTGCTGTTTCTCTGCCAAGCTATACAAGCTTTTCTGAGCTGTACATAAACTTTCCTGCAGCAGCATCATGTGCTGTTGTGTGAGATCAGGTTGAAGCCTGCGTGTGCTAGTTTTAAACACGTTTTCAACCATAACGCATTTGTTTACTTTCTCCTGTAAGTCCGTGAGTGGGAGAGAGAGACTGTCTGCCCAGCAGGCGAAACCTCAGCATGGCAGACAACTTTAGGGCTGCCTGTCTTGTGTCTGATGTGGTCGCCTGCAGCGCCGTTTTTACAGGGCACTGAAACTGCATGGCGGTGGACTTAAATATAAGCATCTACGGGCTGGTGAAGCCATGCTGATGTTTTCATATCATATCAGTGCAGTGGTGAAGCAGCTGGCTAAGCTGAGCAGTTACACACAGTATATCATGAAGTATGTCAGTATAAGACTCATAGGGAGTTAGAGGGCACGGCATCCTCATTGCTAAAAGAGGTGATTAAACGCCCACCCTCATTTCCAAAGGGGAGGCTTTGCCTCTGACCACCTCCATGTTGACGTGAGTAAAAGAAACCATGTCCCTATACACCTGACAGGCAGATGATCAAGCCTCTATGCACAGATACTACCTCCCAGTATTGTGTACACTTGAAAGTGACTCAGGTGAGTCAAATGAACCGTGGAAAAAGGGATGTTAGACTTACCAATGACCAAAATGACTCACGTGTCCCCTTCAGTGCCCACATAGCGTTAAACAGATGCACAGACTATACCGACTGCGCAGATGCAGGAACTAAAAGGCCTTTGCCATGTGACACGATACTCTGACATTGACTCGACCTACATCCCCTATCTGATAGTTTACCCCATGCTGTGTGTGTGTGTGTGTGTGTGTGTGTACATGCACACCAGCAGCAGTACATTCTCTATGTTCTAACACTATTTGTTATTGATGATAAGACTACAGAGTGCATTCATTTGCAGTGACTCACCATTTAGACGTCTTTTCCCTTTGTCAGTTAGGTCCGAGATTCTTTGCTGGATGCACTCGTCATAATTCATTAGGTCACTGTATGACCAGCAGCATTCCTCACATCCATGCATCATCCGTTTCCGGATTTGTTTCCGCCTCCACCTCTCCCTTCCTCTCCCCTTTCACCTTTCACATAATGGACTTTGTTTCATCTGAGAAAGTTTCCTTCAAGATGCGCCTCCTTTCTTATTGACAGGCTTTAGTCAAACTGTGCTTTACAATCAATGTCATTATTTATTTATTTATTTTACTATCACTCTTAGACAAATGGCTAACTGCTAGAATACTCTCATTATTGAAAATCACCTGCTCTGGATTTTTTGGCAGTCGTGGAACAGGATTATGGCAATAAAACAGCTGTAATATTCAAATGTGAACATTTCCTCGTTCCTCTTATTACTCTGATCATTTCCTTCATGCCCTGTTAGTGGTTATAGGTAGTAGTAGTAGTGGAAGAAGCTGGGACATGTTGGGTTTTTTATGTTGATATTTAAGAAGATGTACCAGATACCTGGGATACACAAACAATGAAGAACGACGTTGGATTTTAATGTAGATATTTGCAATTTATATACTGCAGTAGGCTATATAAAACAACAGATACAATGATTTAACCATACAAAGTCTATATGCATCTTTTAAATAACTAAAATGTCCCTGATTTTAGAGATGTATATAAAGCAGTTGTTCAATGCCGTGATCAATACTCAATCAATGTTTCGCAAATTCCACACTTTACCGTAATTATTTGGTGGAGGAACGGCGCTTTGTACCGTGGTGAAGTTAGCTTGACGTTGGTATCTATCGGACGTCCAACTTTAAACTAACTTCACCACGGTCCTTTCTCCCACGCGTGCAGGTGTGGCGGAGAGGAAATTGTATTAAATATAATGACCGATCCACACAACACTATCCAGCAGTTCCAGCATGATGTGTGTGTCAGTCAGGTAACATTTAATGTCTTCCATCCATCGTCAACCGCTTATCCTGCGTACAGGGTCGCGCATTAAATGTCTTGCCCAATGACATACAGCTGACTTTACAGTTCGGCAAGACACGCTGCTGTTGTGATGTTAGCTGTGGCAGCAGGAGAGCTGTAGTGTCGCTATCTGGAGCTGCTGTGCGGCTCTGGGACCGTCTCTTCCTCTCGTGATAGCTTTGCAGCAGCAAGTATTGTCAGTTTGCTATTCCACAACCTAGCTAACAGTAGTTACATTACTTGCTGTGTCTTGTTCACTCTATCATGGTGATGGATTTCTCCCCTCTAAGTTCTCACTTATCCCGAGTTCCAGTTGGAAATGCTATATTTCATTGAATTTACAGTGTTCTATATCTGGATATATATCGTTATTGGGATATGAAATGACCTACATCGGGAGATGATTTTTTGCCATATCCACAGCCATTGTGGTGAATGTTATTGACAATGTATCATTCAACCCTAACAGTGGCCATGTTTGGAGAATTGTAGTCTTCCTCTCAATAAAACAGGACAGGCAGTTTTCTCTGTTCTCAGTTTTGTAAGTATGTTTGTATATGTAACTTGATACCCACAGAATTAGTTGCAAAGAAACTCTAGCACACTATCTAACTTGCAAAAATAAATTTATAAGCTGGCAATGTTTCGATACTAGACATTCATCTAGTATCGAAACGTTGCCAGCTTATACATTTACTTTTGACCTTCTCGTCCCCTCTGATGCACCTGTCTCAGGTTATAGATGTGCAAGGTAATCTTCTGTTCCGATACCCAGAGAATTAAAAAGGGATCATAACTATGATTATTTTTAATTTTAAAGTTAAACCAGTCTATGGATTGGCATTGCAAACGAGCTGCTGTGGTGTGTGGCACTGGCTGATTATCTACTTGTCCTTCATTAACATTACATTTTTTTTTTCTTTAAATATCTGCAAAGCTTTGAAAATCACACGTCAAGTTGTCTAATAAAGCTTTAGTTAAGCTTTAAAGTGAATAGGATAGCTGCAACAAGGAAAGTGTAAATAACAGAGGGCTGAGGCAGATCAAATGTTTTCTCCATAAAATATGATCCAGTTTCACCAAAATCAGTGAATAAAGTTGTATTGTTGTACAGTAATCAGTGAGGCCCTGCCCCGCACCCCATTGTTTTTCCAGCGTGTTACTTTCCAGTAAATTCATCAAATTCAGGTTAAAAACACCAACACATTTGGTCTTTGCAAATGGAAATGTTGTGTTTATTTCCATATAGAGCAAGTAGGTGAGATCTGCTCACAGGTGGTCCCTTGTGTGGAGACGCATTGTGACGTCAGGTGTGAAGTGTGGGGTGGTGATGAATCAGTGGTTAAGGATACATGACGTTGGTGTGAGAGTGGCGCACGACCTCTGATATATATTGCAATTATAGGTCACTTTGGATAAAAGCGTCAGCTGAATGAGTAAATATAAATTAACTGATGATTAGCGGTCCACCTTTGATCACCCAAGACGCATGTTATTGCCTTGTGTAAATAGCCTCTAGTTGATCTAGTCCATGGTAAAGGGAACTCAAACCATAGCTGTCTTCTTGTTCAGCTGGCACTTCTAGTATTTAAAATATCTGTTGGGACATCATTATGCTTTCTAGTCTTCATCCATACACTATCAAATTATGTTTCACTGTATAAAAACATTCACAATACAAACAAAGTAAGCAGTAAATATCAAAGTATTTCTCAGCTTAATACCCAGTTACAGGTCATGTGGACCAGTGTCGGCTGGTCAGTGTGACAGAAACAAGCTGTTGGTCCTTCTATCATTGAGAACAGGATGACTCAGTATTTCCCAAAAACTCTTGAAGCCGTAGAGGAAAAGATGATATGGTCAAGCATACGAGTGTCATTCTTTTAATTTGTGCTAATATTACTGTGTAAATAAATGCATTTCCAGGAAGTAAAATCTGATTCACCAGAAGCGTGAACAGGGTCCAGACTGCTGAATGGCGCACTGTTTTTAGTCACAGCCCCAGTGTGACATACTGGAGGCTCGAGGCTGAGGTCTCCGCCCATTGATGTTGAATATCGTCTCCTTTGTCTCGTATGTTTTAACTTTCTAAACTGTCTAAAATGAGCTTGTTACAAGTGTGTATGTGTGTGTTGGAGTGTATGGGTAAATTAATAAGATGTATTTGTTAAGAGAAATTTTCTTCAAGCTTAAAATAATCGTTGTCAGATTGTCTTTGTCCAGAGGACTGCAAGATGGCAACGCGGAGGCTCGGCTCACATTTACGTCAATGTGGTGACTTAACATGGACCCCAGATCATTGATCTATTAGGTCCCTGCACACAAAACCTCACATGCCAAAAGGTTTTATTTTTTCAACTGAGCATGGCTTCTTGTTGAGCTTGCCCTCATGACTTACATACACAGACGTGTACTTTGTTTTTGAGGGCTTTAAGGATGTGTTTCCACTCTGCTGTTGTCTGAGGTGATAAACACCAGATAAACTGGTGGAATACCAGCAATAGGACTGACTTCAGGATCAGTTTGACTTCAAGCCTTCGCCTTTCGCTTCCTCTTAGTGTACATTTCAGTCCGCAGACTATGGGTTTTGTGTGTCTGCATGCAAGTTTTATGGTAATACTTTGATTTTTGTATGAAGTGACCACTTTTATTTGGAAATGAGCAGATCGACAGTTAAAGCTGATCTGTTTCTGTTGAGCGTGTTCAGTTTTTGTGTGTGTAGGGTGTTTGGTGTTCATGTGCTACAGATGCTGCAAATAAAGTATCTTGAAAAATATGTAGTATGTTAAAGCTTTGTCATTCACTGTCACTGTGTGATTAGGTATTGTAATATTTGAAAAACTGCTTGCAAGCTAAGGAGAAGAAAATGTCTCTAATGTTTCCAGCTCCACATTTTTAGATTCCATCAAGAGAGATGCCACGAATCAGGTGAAGTCACATAGGTTTGATAAGCTTGTGTGTTTGCATCAGTGTGATAACAACAGAGACATTGAACTGTTTCTTATTTTTCCTGTCATGGTGATGTTCTTTAGTATCAGTGCAGCGCGTCTAAACACGTCAGGGTTTAGGCATGGTTTGAAACGTACACACTTCTGTGAAAACATTCCTCACCAGGAGGACGTGTGAGTGGGTGTGTGTTATTGCCTTGTGGAGTAAGTGGGTTGGGAATTTTTTTTAAATGTATGCTTTTCTTTAAAGACCCCACTCAATGTGTTTTTCTGTATGTTTGTGTCCCCTAAAATGTCAGACCTTGAATTTACTGACTTGTGTCAGTGCAAAGTCACTAGAGAGGTGTTTTCACATTCCTCTTCTGAAGAGGGAGATGTTGTACTCTTCTCTATATAATCTGAGATTCAAATGTACCCTGTGCAAGCTAGATTTGGTACGTGAGAAATTCGAAAGCCAGTCACTGTCTAGCAAATGCCACCGGCAAAGAAACCTGAATCCTGCAGTGCAGCGGACTTGTCAGTACAGAGAAGAGAGTTTGAGCCGGCGTAATAAAAGTTTGGATAGCAAACATGGTAAAGTGTACAGTTTTTGGATGTAAATAGGACCCTGGAGCTTCATTCCACTATTAACTAGGTCTGGGCGATAAAATGATAACAGTAATTATTGCGATATAATTTTCCTCCATACAAATATATAAAATGTATAAAATATAAAAAAAAATAATATGTAAATAAATAATAAATGTTTAATTTAATTTATTTGAATCAGGAATCAATTAGTACTTCATTTGTCTATAAAGATATTTCTTTTGTCGAGGACAGAATGGGCTGAAAAACATTTTTAGGCTACTTCATTTTATATATGTGGAAAAAGATTTTTTCATCTTTTTTTTATCTATCATTATTGAATGTTTTGTGAAATGATCCACTGTTTGTCATTTTCTGACCATAAAGAATAGTTTTAAACCACATTTAACCGTTTGGTTTCTTCAACTTTCACTTAGGTGCAAAAATCTGCCTTTAAAGTCTAAAGGAATAATGATGTGAGATTTATTGTAATAATTATTGACTGATTAATCGATAATGAAAATAATCATTAGTTGCGGCGCTACATTGACCTGGATTCAACTCATCAGTGTATAGAGTTTGTGCTTACTGTATCTTGCCCTGCACATGTATGAGATGACTGGCTAGAACGCAGATAACAGGCACAGAAAACGTTTTGAATAACAAGTAGAATTAGTAGTAAAAATTATGTAGCACATTTCAGCTGATTTATTACAGCCTCATTACCCTCAACAGAGGCTATTGTTGACACACACACACACACAGTCGTGTGTCCATCACTTCAGAGGACATTACATTGACTAACATTCATTTCCTTACCCTAACCAGTACTTACCTAACCCCTAACCCCTAACCCTAGCCTTCACCTAAACCTAACCATACCATGACTTTAAACCAAGTCTTCAACATAAAATCCACCACAACATGACTGTGTAAGCAGATTTATGTCCTCACAACATGAGTAATATGCTCTCTTACACACACACACACACACACACACACACACACACACACACACACACACACACACACACACACACACACACACACACACACACAGACTGTATGCTTTGGGTCTATGTCTATCCCATAATAAACCCCTCCTTCTCCGTCTCCCTCCCCTCGTTATAACTTTGCTGCTACTGAAACAATAGTATTTACCCCGCAGAGAATCTCATCAGCTGCCAACAGGAAGACAAACGCACACAAACACTGCAAAGAGTCCTGTGTATGGATTCTGTGCCACTGGACCTGCATTTGTGTTCATAATGTGACAGGATTAAATCCGGATATGGTTCCAGAGGCCAGACAGAATAAAGGAACAGCTCATCTCACTCACTGTTTTTACTGGTGGAGACATGAAATATGGCAGTATTAGTGGCAACCATCTGATAAATGTGCTGTTTGTAAGTCAATTCGACGTAGGAACTTTTGTTTTCGGTGTCATTGTGGTTTGGCTGACTATATCATTTAGCTCTGACGCTATGGGCCAGGACCTTACATGTCTTCCCCTGTCTCCTCTGTGGGCTGCCAGATAAAGGCAAGAATACCAAAAAAACAAACACAAAAAATTGACATCTTTTATGTTTTATTGTCAGAGCCACACAGCAGGAATTGACATTAGGCAGCCTGTAAAAACATTATTGCCCTAAGTAAGGAAATAGTCTAAAGGTTAAAACACAGCGAGAAAAATTTAAAATACATCAGGATTAATTTCCAGATGTGATGGAAACAGTTGGAAAGTATTTAAAACTCGGCTAATTGTCCAACACTTGAAGCGACGTCAGACACATGTTGAGCTGTGTTTATTCCCATGTCACTGTCTTCTGTCTACAAATCTTCTTGCAGTTTGCTCTTGAAGCACTTTTCTGTTTTAATCCAGTCCGCGTTTTAGTTGCTGTGGGACACTGACCTGGAAAGACCGTAAAAACAGCTGAGTGGACAGGGCAGGATGAACTCCAGGCATGGATTTATCCCTCCCTACACACATAGACATACTGTAAATAAGCAGAAGTAAAATCATTACTTGAGTGTTTTGCATACGCTGCCTTCCTGACACCCATACTTCTATACAGACAATCAGCCATGACACACACATGCAGTATGCACACAAACAGACACAAATCACATTTGCTTGGCAAATTGAACATTTTGCGTCCGGTCCGCTGAGCAGACATGAACTGCAGGCACAGAAATCATTAAACTCCAGCTTGCGGCTGCAGGCGCGTAGTCACAGCTGTGCAATCACAATGTCAAAGCATTGATCTGTGATTGGCTAGGGGGAGTGGTTCAATCAGAAATGCAATCCAGACTCTGAAGTTTGACCTGCAGTTGTTGACAAAAAGGAACACACCACAAATCCTAGGACTAGATCATTTTCTTTTAGTTTCTATTCTATCTCACAATATATGATGTGTTTTTTTGATTCTTTATTTTGTACTGTATTACTTTAACTTTGTCTAAACACTGTGTTCAACTCTGTTCTGCTCTCCTGTATCATGCTACTGTAAGGATAAAGCCCGCTCACAACTGTGACAGACAGCAACAGGTTGAAGCTGCCTACAGCGTCTAAACCCCCCTCATTCTCATACATGTATACACACATCACTATCCACTGAGGTCAAGAAAAAGGGTGTATGTGTTGTCTCTTCTCCTCTCACTTCTCCATGCTGCTGTTTTAAACTCCATTTTCCACCCAACTTTCTTTTTCTTCGGCGTTTCTCTTAAATTTTTATACCCCTCTCTCTCTTTCTTTCTCTGTAGGTATCAGAAGCATGTCCACACTTACAGAATTCTCCCAGATGAGGAAGGATTTCTGGCTGTACAGGTACAGAGAAGACACACACACACACACACACGCTGCAAAAACTGTATTTGCTTCAGTAGCAGCTGGCAGGCAGAGATGCTTTTGTTGGCTCCGAGCTCTCACTCACACTCACATACACCGACAGCAGCCTCTTTGTGCCTTGTGCCTAACAGCTGTGAAGTCCCCTCCACTACCCGCCACACAGACATGCTCTGTTACACACACACACGACAACATGGTACTTCAGACTATCCATGTGGCCACATCACAGACATCTGTGTCCTTGCTTTTTTTGGGGTCTTAGCTATGACCGTGGAAAGAGAGAAATTTTTCTTCCTGGAACTGAATATGTTCAGAAACAATGTTTACCGAAACAGTTCTTCCTGGTTTGAATTATATTTAGACAGCCGGGTCATATTTGCTTACACAACATAAAATGTGGAACAATAGCGGCCACCAGAGATTTCAACAACAGGACTACTTGTAGCCAAGGAGTTTGGGTGTAATTGTTATGTTCATACCATGTAAAAACCAACTTTTCTTCCTCTGTCTCATCCCTCCCTGATTGACTTCCTCCCTCTTTCTCTCAGACATCTCAGGGTGTGCAACCTAAGCGTTTTAAGACATTACCAGAGTTGGTGTCATTGTACCTGCAGCCCAGCCAGGGTCTGGTCACCACCTTGCTTTACACTGTGGACAGAGAGGAAACTGCTGTCAGCGATGACAGGGACTATTCAGGTATCTCTAGAGCCCATACAAGCACACTCAGTGATTACCTGCTTTTTATCACATGTTAACTCTCTCTTTTCTGTGATTGGTAGATGGGGAGGATGAGAAGCCACCCCTCCCCCCTCGTTCTGCCTCCACCTCCACTCCCCCAGGACCAGACACACCTACAGACAGGTACAAAGTCTATATGAGAACTGGTTTTATTGTGTCTATTCACAATAATAAAATGCAAGCGCTACGAATCAAAGTACCAGCAGGGTTTTTTAACCAACATGTTAACCATGTGGTATCCACATCCAACCACCCCACACACACACACACACACACACACAGGAAGGATGTTGCTTCACTGTTAATGTGATTGCATCATAAGTCAGCTCTGTTCATAAAAATAGTAAGCAGAGGTATCATTGATTATATAAACAAACAAAAGCTCACACTGTTCCTCTGCTGCTTTCACTGTTTCTGTTGCATGACACACACACACACACCATGCAGTAAAAATGGTTACATAATAATAATACACTTGTAACTAAGGTTCATTTGTAGACACGCACATTAATATCCTCCGCTCTGCCTGTGTGCCCCCCTCTGTCTGCATAATGAAGGAAAGCCACATCCTGTTGAAAACCACGTCGGAGACGATGGAAGGCTTTGATGAAGTGGGGGCTGTAGTTTGTGTGTGCATCTGTGTACAACATATTAATGAAAAAAGTCTGTGCCTTCGCTCACTGAAGTGAGTAAGTTGGCTGTACGCATCATTCTGATATTCCTGTTGCAGGTAAAGGTTGCTAACTAACTGATGCTGTAACCTTTGTCACAGTGTCAACTGTAGGTGAAATCAATGAAGTAACTTTTTTCTGTCACGGTGGTCCTCCGTTTGTCAAGTTATCAAGAAAAGAAGCATAAAATCAGCCGTGGAAATTACCCGTGACACTTTCTACATATGATTCATTAAACTCTACTCTAGCACCAAAATGAGCGCTAAATATGTCATAGTCCAGAAACCGTAAAGGAACACCACATCACAGTTAATTTACACTTGGAACTTTTGTTCAGCTGGTTTGTAGACATTACATGTTTGAAATAAGGCCTTGTGTACGAAAATGTACTTCGCTTACTCGGAAGCCACAGTGTGTGGATCATATTAAAGGATTGTCAGTGCAGAGGTCTGCAGATGCAAAAGTTTAGTCTTAGTCGCAGAGGTTAAACAAAAGGGAGTGTTTTAGTTGGCCATGTTAAAAGTGGCGTATGGACTGTGAGGAAAAACAAAACTCTGTCAGCAGTATTTCCACTAAGGAAGGAGCACCACAGGAGGCAAACTGTAAAATGAAACAAAAAAGTTACTTTCCTTTTTTGACTAGACAATTTTAATGTTCAGGTCAGAAAGAAACAACCACAAATCTGTGACAGCCTATAATACACATTCTTTGTAAGTTGTAGAAGTGTAGTTTGGCCAGTTTGTAGGGGGCTGGGGGCATCCTGCTGGCTCACTTGGTTAAATGAGTGTGTATGTCTGTATATGTGGTTGGTAGGGTAGACATAAGTCAGCTCTCTGTTTTAGAGGAAGTGTGCAATTAAAAAAAAAAAAAAACAGTCTCCACAGATGTAGTGCTCACAGACTTATACACATGCTTTGTAGATATGGCCACTAGGAAGACAGTGTTCTGTTTTCTGATACAAGGGATGTAATTTTCTGCTGCTTGGATGTCCATTTTTAAAGTATCTGCTGAAACTTTATGGCAGTAAAAGCATAAAATTAATGTAATATAACAATTACAGAACAGACAAGAATATAGCAAACAGCATAGCAAACAATGGAAACATACAACTTGATAAAAAGCTTTAGTAGGACTTACAATGTGAATTCTGAGACAAGATAAGGATTACAGATGACAACACAGGACTTGTCTGTATAAAATGTGTAACATCAAATCACTGTAGTGCTGTTTTTATTTGTAGTTTGCTTGTACTGTAATCTGTATACTTGTGTTGTTGAAATAGGATGACTGGACTTTGTTTAAATTTTGTTTTAGTGCTCCAGCAGCTAACGGCCTGAGCACCATCTCCCACGAATACTTGAAGGGCAGCTATGCTCTGGATCTTGAGGCAGTCAAACAGGGAGCCTGCTCCCTGCCTCACCTCAACAAGACACTAGTGGCCTCCTGCAAACGCCTTAATGGGTAAGAAGGACAATCCAGTGCACATCTGTAGACACGTGTTCCACAGATACTCTCTTGTCCCTGCGTCTTCTACACAAGGCTGTTCTTTTATGTATGTGCTCGTCACTCCACTGACAGATCTATGTAAGGAGTCACAGACCGCAGAGCTGCCTTCTCCCTTGTTCTGGTCACAGTGGCATGTGTTTCACATTCAAACATCATGATAATAAATAAACTTGAAATTAAAGACCAGCTTAAATTAAAGATGTTAGAAATATAACTGAATCATCTGTGGTTCATTGTGCAGCAGCAACATGCAGACACATAGTATCTTTCCTTATACATAGATCTAAATGAAGAAGAAAACATAAGAAGGATTTAAATTTAAGTTGTGGATGTCTTTGTTTCCCCAAAACAGGGAGGTGGATAAGGTGCTGACTGGTCTGGAGATCCTGTCTAAAGTCTTTGATCAGCAGAGCGCTTTCATGGTCTCCAAGATGATCCAACAGGTACACATGTTTGCCAAAACCAAAAATAGTGAAAACTTAGGAATCTCCAAAAGGGACAGCATCTGCCCTCTCACGTGTACCTCTGGAAATAATGATCAGTATGTCACCCAAATTTAGACTGAATGTTCACAGGCAGTTATAGCAAAGATAGACAGACATGTATAATTTATCAATACATTAATCAATCTTTAAAATGTACAGTATCTCACAAAAGTGAGTCCCCCCCTCACATTTTTGTAAATATTTGATTATATGTTTTCATGTGACAACACTGAAGAAATAACACTTTGCTACAATAAAGTAGTAGTAGTAAAGTAAAGTAAAGTAGTGAGTGTACAGCTTGTATAACAGTGTAAATTTGCTGTCCCCTCAAAATAACACATCACGCAGTCATTAATGTCTAAACCGCTGGCAACAAAAGTGAGTACACCCCTCAGTGAAAATGTCCAGATTGGGCCCAAAGTGTCAATATTTTGTGTGGCCACCATTATTTTCCAGCACTGCCTTAACCCTCTTGGGCGTGGAATTCAACAGAGCTTCACAGGTTGCCACTGGAGTCTTCTTCCACTCCTCCATGACAACATCATGGAGCTGGTGGATGTTGGAGACCTTGAGCTCCTCCACCTTCCGTTTGAGGATGCCCCACAGATGCTCAATAGGGTTTAGGTCTGGAGACATGCTTGGCCAGTCCATCACCTTTACCCTCAGCTTCTTTAGCAAGGCAGTGGTCGTCTTGGAGGTGTGATTGGGGTCGTTAACATGTTGGAATTCTGCCCTGCAGCCCAGTCTTTGAAGGGAGGGGATCATGCTCTGCTTCAGTAATAGCACATGTTGCAGGGCTCGACAATAACAGTGGCCTGATGGCCCGGGGCCAGTAAAAAGTAATGTCTGTTGAATTAGCAGCTCACTGGCCCAATTGGGCCAGTGCAAAAACATTACTATTAAAAATGCGAAAACAAAAAAATCACATTAGAAACTCAACATCCTGCAGTTGTTTTGCAGCTCTTAGCATGCACCGTTGACCAATCAAAAGTTGTAGTGAGGTGACAAGTGGTTGTCAAATGTTATTTCTCTAATCTCAATCAAGCGGCAACCTCTGGGTCTTTAAAGTGAAAACATGAAGATGGAACTTAAACCTGCATTCTCTCTAACGGCCAGCAGGGGGCGAGTCCGCTGGCTGCAAAAAGAAGTCCGGTTCCATTAGAAATGAATGAATAGAAATGGTTAAATAACCATACTTCTCAGCTGAATTATTCCCTCAGTAAACACTTTCATTATGAATTTATGGTCTCAGTTGCTAGTTTCAAGTCTTCTTCAACATAACATGGTGTCCATTTAGTAAATTATCGTCTTATTTAAGGGGAAATAGATCAGAAAGCAGCATATGCTTTACTGCGGGACTACTTGTAATTGACATGTCGCTACCATGGCGACCTGTCATGTGGCTGTTAGCAGGAGAGAGCACGTCATATGAGTCTGTTAGTATGTTTTCTTTTAAAAGTAAATTGTTTTATTTTTTGTAATTTTAACATTTGTTTATTTTTTTTTATACTCAGGATGTATTTAAAAAGGATTAAGCATGTTAACAGCATAACATAACTTATAAGTCTTTGTTTTTTTTGTAACACAGTAAAAATTGTCTTCGGGTGTGGGGCCAGTTGCAAAAAAGTTTAACGTTGAGCCTCGTTTTGGCATTCACAGTACCAGCAGGTCTCATGCAGCCCCAAGACCATGACACTCCCACCACCATGCTTGACTTGTAGGCAAGACACACTTGTCTTTGTACTCCTCACCTGGTTGCAACCACACCTTCCTTAGTCTGCTGGTCTCCAGCAAACTGATTGCGGGCTTTCTTGTGCATCATCTTTAGAAGAGGCTTCCTTCCGGGACGACAGCCATGCAGACCAATTTGATGCAGTGTGTGGCGTATGGTCTGAGCACTGACAGGCTGACCCCCCACCCCTTCAACCTCTACAATGCTGGCAGCACTCATTCGTCTATTTCCCAAAGACAACCTCTGGATATGAAGCTGAACACGTGCACTCAACTTCTTTGGTCGACCATGGTGTGGCCTGTTCTGAGTGGAACCTGTCCTGTTGAACTGCTGTATGTTCTTGGCCACCGCGCCGCAGCTCATTTTCAGGGTCTTGGCAATATTCTTATAGCCTAGGCCATCTTTATGTAGTGCAACCACTCGTTTTTTCAGATCCTCAGTTCTTCAGAACTTCCAGTGACCAGTATGAGGGAGTGTGAGAGCGATAACACCAAATTTAACACCCCTGCTCCCCATTCACACCTGAGACCTTGTAACACTAACGAGTCACATGACACCGGGGAGGGAAAACAGCTAATTGTGCCCAATTTGGACATTTTCACTTAGGGTTGTACTCACTTTTGTTGCCAGCGGTTTAGACATTAATGGCTGTGTGATGTGTTATTTTGAGGTGACATAAAATTTACACTGTTATACAAGCTGTACTTTAACTACTTTACATTGTAGTAAAGTGTCATTTCTTCAGTGTTGTCACATGAAAAGATATAATCAAATATTTACAAAAATGTGAGGGGTGTACTCACTTTTGTGAGATACTTTTTATACTTATACACACATGAATTATTGGTGGAAATTGAATTGGAATTTAGAAATCCAAAAGGCAAGTATTTAACTCCTCACCAGCAATCTGTGTGCATTACCCAGATCAAATGTAAGTATAAACAGTCTTCAGTTATATCCAAGCTTCCTCCAGACTATAACCAAACGTTCACCGCACTTCCAAAGCAGTCGACTCCTCTGTTCTCATTTGATGTCAAAAAGCTCATCACGTCCAGTAATGCTTACTTTGAGTGTCATTTGTGTCACACTGGAATATTAACTCACTTTCACAGATAATGGAATATGTGACATCATGTCCTTAGTGAAGTATCTTGTAAACGGAGCAGCCAGTCAGAATAAGGGACAGAGATTCAGTTCTCCCAAAAACAGCGACAGAGATTTAGTCTTAGTGGAGGGAACTCCTATTTTTTGAGTTACTACTGCAGTAGTATATTCATAACTTATGAATTAACAGGCTTCCTGATAAATCATGATTTAGAAATCATAATTTTCTTTATTACTGAACTGGTGGCAGCACACACCAACACCTAGCTTTATGTTAACAGGTATGGCTAGACTGGTTATGCAACGTTAAGAACAATCTTTAAGACGCTTTGTAATTGTGAAATGTGTTTGCTGTGCAGTTTTACTGTTGGAGAATTTTTTGTTTGAAACTCTGAATGAAAAAGCATAATTTCAGTGGGAAATTTACTAAATTGTAATCATAAACTTTCTCCATGAAAGTCACGTTGTTGCATCCCAATCCTTAAAAACCGGAATTATGAAGCTTTCTCACAATGGCAGCTAAACATACCAGCTCATGCTTTCTGTCTTACTTGTTTCCTGTTCTTCTTTACTTCTCCTCTCTATCAGTCGGTGAATCAGGGTGGAGACCAGGAGTTGGAGAATCTCGTGACCAAGCTAGCAATTCTCAAAGACCTGCTGTCCTCTATAGAGAAGAAGGTACACACATATGTAGGCATGCACACTCACACATGATCACTTCGACTCCCTCTCAGTCACACACTCACTCACACAGACAGCTGCAAGTTTGGGGTGGTTAGTTTAGATAATCCTCCCCCAGACGATGGATCATCTGTCCAGAAGCCCTTCTAGCCGCGTGTGTAGTCCAGCATAAAGACTTCAGGCTGGTGCATGTGTGTGATAAAGTGAGAGAGAGAGACCCTTCTCTTTTGCAGACTTGGCATACAGTACATGGATGGCACGCAGATTTGGAACAATGAGGGGGGATTTTGACATTTTTGGACAGAGCAGCAGTTTATCCACTTGTTGATACAACGCGTTAAAAAATATTTGCATATGGTGTAATGCTACGAAAGCCAGATGTAGAGGGTGTGCGCCATGCAGGTCATAACAGAAGTTTTTTGTTTTTGTTTAATGCCTAACAGGATTTTCCAGCACAGTAAACCTCACATTTTACCTATAATTTGCAAATACAGTTTGTCCAGCTCTGCCTTGTTAACAGGTCATACCATTTCTACTTGGACTTCACTTGTAAGAAGGGGCTTTAGCTGCCTGGGAAGGAAATGGCTTCAATGCAATCAAGCTCCATGTCTTGACTCATGTGATGTCAGTGGCTCCACCTTCTCTGCTCCTGTTAGATCACATCCAGGAAATGAGGAACTGTTTCCTTTTTGACACTGAAGCTGAAAACAATCAATATCTGTTTGTCTTTTCGTGTGTGTGTGTGTGTGTGTGTGTGTGTGTGTGTGTGTGTGTGTGTGTGTGTGTGTGTGTGTGTGTGTGTGTGTGTGTGTGTGTGTGTGTGTGTGTGTGTGTGTGTGTGTGTCTCCTTTCGGTCCGCTTTTTATTTTTTTTGTTTAATTGTTTCTCCCTCTGGCTCGCCCCTTCTCTGTCTTTGTCCCCTTAGGCTCTAAAGGCTCTCCAGGACATGAGTTTATCCTCTCCCTGCCCCCTTCCTCCCCTCTCCATGCGTCACAGCAAAGCCATTCCTGTGCAGGCCTTCGAGGTACGCGTGTACATCCTCCCACACACAAGCCACATACACACAGACATGTTGTTCTTGGTTGTCTTTCTGCATGGTGATAAGAGGTCAGTATTAAGGCAGCAGTGATGATGTCATCCATGTCTAGCTTTTGGCCAACTAAAAATTTTTTTACATTTCTCTTTACACTTTAATCAGGAAAGGAGGTGAGCTGAAATATCTGCATTATGGCAATTAAATGTAAATCCGTACTTATTAAGACCAGTGTTTCCCACTTACACACTTTACTTGGGTGGCCAACCCGGTATATTAACAGCTGCCAGATTATGTTTGGTGACCTGTTTGAGCATTTTGCAGAGAAACACAGAGAGATATGTTATCTGGTAGAGACAGAAGACAGAAAGAGACAAGGTAAGCAGGTGTGTGTTTGCAGTAAGAGACCAGAGGTGTAGGTGTGTGCGTGTGGGGAAAAGAGAACTGAAGGGAAAAGCAAGGTGAGCAGATTCAAGTAGTGATTAAACACTAAAATAAGGTGGAGAATGAAGTAGTATTAAATGGTGAAAAAATAAATAACCTACTAGATAGGAATATACCCCGCTGCCCTCCCTTTTATACTCAAAATCTTAAATCTATTTGCTGTTCAGGAATATGAAACTTTGGAAAAGATAATTGCGATTTCAGTCTGGAGGCAAACTAGACCTTTGTTGTAGAGTTCTGAAACACCTCCAGATTTAATTTATTAAATGCCATTGTGAAGGAATGGTGGTTTTGTTTCACAGCGGAAGGACTGAACCCGAATTACCGTAAAACAGGCTGTGAGGTCTGAACGCACTGCAGACAGTTTGTCAGCAGAGCTGATGTGAGACCAAAGGAATGTTTGTAATGCACTTCCTGTTCATCATCAGCGACTTTGTCATAGTTTATGGTATTTATCACTTTTGGCATCATTACCGACCTGATAAAATAACTTCTAGGCACTGGAAGGAGACTGTTGAAGAGTAGGAGAGAAAAACGGACAAAAGACATATTGAAGAGGGATAAAAGAGTAGAGGGATAATTATCAATGGGAACATGTGGAGAAAAGTTTGAGACAGTGAAGGAATAAGAGTTGAAATATTTGAAATATCAGCTGTCAGCTGAGCCTGCATCCTTATGTGGTAGCCTCCTTTCAGCAGCTTCCTGTTAAACAGGAACAGAAATGTTGTTACGATGAGGTTTAGATGTAGCACCTGATTCGCCCACTGACAAACAAAGACATCCCATTGAGTTTTTACATGATATGTGACACAAAGTCAGAATAAATTTGTGTCTTCTGGTTTTCATTTGATTCTGAGAAATTATGAGTTTTACGTTTCTTAGAGCCAAACCTATGGATTCAAACACAAAAGGCCCACTCTGTGAACTGCCTTCTCAAACTACAATCGAGAGAATCAGCACATTGTGCGTGGGATCATCAAAATTCTTGCTTTCTGCTTTCAGATTTCTAACCTTGCTGGTGGCATATAACTGCTAGTTAATATCATAGAAGCAGCAAGCTTGTTTTGTTTGTGATAACAATAGAGGGAGAGAGTGCCGATGAGTCCACTACTTTCACTTTGGAGACCCCTGGTGGTGTGAAGATTTGATGTGATTTGGAAGTAGAGGCCTCCGTAGACACGAACACTTTCATCATTTTATTTTTCACAAACACCTTTAGTTTCTGCAAGTTTGTGTTTTAATCCTCCTCTGATCCTCTTCAGGTAAAGCTGGATGTTTACCTGGCAGAGCTGACAAAGATAGGAAAGAGCCAGAAGTATACTCTGTCTGTGGACGTGGAGGGAGGACGACTGGTGGTGATGAAGAAAGTGAAGGACAGCCAAGAGGACTGGACCACCTTCACACATGACAAAAGTGAGAATTACACAAACACTCTACACACAATAACTTAACTGTGAGATGAGTAATCAAGTGTTACCCCCGGGAAATGATTGCGTTAGTGACGCATCTCATCTTGTGATCAGTTTAGTTTGCAGATGACAGCCTAAACAATAGCAAATATAGCCAGATTCATTAAATATGTGGCATTTCCTCTTTAATATTCATTTTTTATTTTGTTATTGTGGGTTCTGTATTTCAGGCGATGTGACCATGAAAGCAGATTAAATGTCTTTGAACTACAGGTCAAGAGATTAAATGTTTTTTGATCCAAGCTTGTAATAACAAAATATTCTTGATGGTATCTGTTTGAGCCACAGTTGAGGTAAAGACATAAAACATTGGGTGAAGATTTAACAGCATCTTTAACAATGTTTTTATCATTTTGTCTCCTATTTCCCTTAATTTTTCATGCCTTTTCATTGTTCTCTTTCCTTGACTTTTCAACTCTTCTTTGACCTTGCTTTTTCTCCCTGCCTTTCTGGCTTTCCTATCTCTGACCTTCTGTCTGTCTCAGTCCGTCAGCTGATCAAGTCTCAGCGGGTGCAGAATAAACTGGGCATTGTTTTTGAGAAGGAAAAGGACAAGAGCCAGAGGAAAGACTTCATATTTGCTAGTGCCAAGGTCTGCGCGCACACACACACACACACACACACACACACACACACACACACACTCACTCTTAACACACTACCACACACATTTGTAGATATAAGGAAACACAATCTTTTACAGTATTCAAACATACAAACACCTACCTGCAAATGTACAGTGTTTTACACATTCCTATTCAAACTGACAAGGAAATACTCTCATATTTCCCTTTTTTATTTGTATATCTATAGTCAGATGAAGAACACTAACAGGGCATACCCATATGCAAATGCATAGATGTGTCTCTTTTAATGAAGAAATTCTGATGGAAAATGCCAAAGAGAGTTGTCTGCCCACAGTGTTGTACATATGAGAGCTGTTAAGAAATAAACTGTTAAAAGGGTTTAATGAAAGCACATACTCACATCCAAGTAAGGTTAAATCAAGGCCAACTGGACTTGATTGAAGACACTGGAGTACGTTTCTCCTCTCATCACATATACACTCATTGATTGTTAGTAAGCTTTTTAGGTGGTGGTACTAAAAAACAAGGTGCCCGTTTGTGGAAACTTCCCCTCACTGATGTGTGTGTGTTTCAGAAGCGGGAGGCATTTTGCCAGCTGCTGCAGCTGATGAAGAATAAACATTCCAACCAGGACGAGCCAGACATGATCTCCATCTTTATAGGCACCTGGAATATGGGTTAGACACACACACACACACACACACACACACATCTCTTAGTCACAGTCTTTTAGATGTGTTTTTCCTTTTAACATAACCTACATTAATAGCAAAACAGATTGACTTATGCTCCTTCAGACTTAGCTTTTCGCTTTCGTTTTTCATCAGTTTTTCTGGCTTTATTGCCGAAACACGTGTTACCTATGACAGAAATACAGTCATTGTAAAAAGGAAGATGGCGTTTTTGGATTAATGAGCAGCGGACCACGATTCACCCTGCCTGATCAACCGAACCAGGCACCACGACAGGTGCATTGATCACTCAGAGGAGAGAAAAGAGAGCCTGGATAGGAGCGTTGTTGGTCCTAAAGGTCCTGTCTGGACAAAATGGGACTGATTTTGGCCAAACAACGGAAATCAGAGACTGTTGTGCCCACATCTTTACAGAGACCTGCCCCATCAACCCAGATCAAGCGGGCTGCCCATGTTCCGAGATGACAGTGTAAGACGCAAGATGAGAGGAAGTGGATGCTTGATGCTGAACACAGTCAAGATGGACACTGTTTCCCAAATGTCAGACCTTTTAATGTCAATATATAAACATATTATCATCTTGTTACTGCTGTTTACATTCGCCTCAGACGCAAATTCAAAAAATGCACTGCAGAATGTTCTGGTTGTATACAGCTATTTATAGAGCCTTTGTATGCTCTATAAATAGCTGTATATAACCTATTGGTTTTTTTTAAATGTTAACATATTTTAATACACTTAATTATCTGTTATGTTATGTGTGTGTAGCATTACGGGACTTCAAACTTTTTTTTTGTTGTACAACCTTGTGTTGTATAATGACAAATAAACAACCTTGTACCTTGTAGATATTTTCATATGTTGCATGAATTTCCAGAGCATGAGATTAGTATTTTTGATGAGAATGTACTGTTTTGGTCTTTGTCTGCAGGCTCAGTGCCATCGCCTAAGTCTGTGGCCTCATGGGTGTTGTGTCGCGGCCTCGGGAAGACTCTAGACGAAATGACGGTCACCATCCCCCATGACCTTTATGTGTTTGGCAGCCAAGAAAACTCTGTGTGTGATCGTGAGTGGGTGGAGTCGCTGCGTGCCATGTTGAAAGAACAGACAGAACTGGATTATAAACCGGTGAGGAAAGAAGGCGCAAACAAAGATTTTAGTAAAAAGAGATTTTAAATATAGGACCATTATGCTAAATATTACATTCTTTGATTACGTTAGTTTTATTTGTGCTTTGCTCACACTGACCAAACCCATTAAAATCATGAGGGGTAAGTAAAAGTGGAGATGATGTGTTTGAAAACTAAAGATAAGAAAGACGGGGCAATTATTTTTGTACAGTGTGAGCGCAGGCGTTATGACTATAGGTTCCATATTGTCTGTTGTTGTTATTGGTTATAGATCGCAGTGCAGACTCTGTGGAACATAAAAATTGCCGTGTTGGTGAAACCGGAGCACGAGAACCGGATCAGCCACGTGGGAATGTCCAGTGTCAAGACGGGCATCGCCAACACACTGGGTAACAACAGTGTTCAGTATTTATTCCTCCTTCACGTGCTTTACTTCCAAACTCAAATGATCAAACTCTAGGAGGAAAATGTGAACCATGGAACAACAGCACAATCAAACGCTGACTTTTTCTGTAAACAAAGGCGCTATTATGATTGTATTTCTGCAGCTCTTGTGGTCACAACAAAAAAATGTGACTTCAATTAAGAAAAAAAGCATTTGGTGTGTCAGTGATCGAAATACCATGCCTTTCTTTTAAACTCTGTAAAACTTAAAAGTTTCATTTCAAACTTTTAAAAGTGAGAAAATGAAACCACAGCTGTGTGTCTGTGTACAGCTGTGTATTTTAGTGCGATTCATTATCACAACAGGAGCAAAATTCTATGCTCTTAGCTTTTTTTTTTTTCTATAAAGTAATGCTTGTTGTTAGTCAGTTTCTGTCAGTTAATTTTTATGTGTTTTGATGGTTTCCTAGGCAACAAAGGAGCTGTGGGTGTGTCCTTCATGTTCAACGGGACATCTTTCGGCTTTGTGAATTGTCACTTGACATCAGGAAATGAGAAGATAGCCAGGTACCTACCACTGTCTACACACATTATGCATTGCTCTTTCATTTTATTTGATGATATACTTTTACACTGCGCCACACACACACACACACACACACACACACACACACACACACACACACACACACTCATCACTCTTAGTACCTGTGATACATGTGACCTTTGCAGGAGGAACCAGAACTATCTGGATATCCTACGGCTGCTCTCCCTAGGAGACAAGCAGCTGAGCTCCTTTGACATCTCACTGCGCTTCACACACCTTTTCTGGCTGGGAGACCTCAACTACAGGCTGGATATGGACATACAGGTGAAGCAGACACACACACACACACACACACACACACACACACACACACACACACACACACACACACTGGTCAATGGCAGATTTGGATGACACCTCATTCTCTTTTGCATCTTTGTGCAGGAGATTTTAAACTACATTAACAGGAAGGAGTTTGACCCCCTGCTGAAGGTGGACCAGCTCAACCTGGAGAGGGAGAAGAACAAAGTGTTTTTACGCTTCGGTTAGTCGGACTGTGTTTCTACCAGGTGTCTGTTTTACAGCGCTGCTTACCTCCTCTCCTTGTGCACAAGTTGATTATTAATAGTTTGGTTTTAAATGATTAAAATATATCAACAGTGACAGAAGGTCACTTGCAGCAAATGTGATGACACACTTACCAAAAGCATCTTCTCACCACTGCTGTTGTGTTCTCTAAGAAATGTCATTATATGTAAACACTATGACTTAAAGGAAAAATGATTCAAGGATGGGAAATATTTATTAAAAGATGCAGTTCAACCATTATCAAAGTTGCTCCATATAGCTTATTAGCCAAATGTATCATCATCTACATCAGTATAAAGAAATGGTGACCATCTGTGTCATATCACTGTTTGTGCTAGTGTTTCTCAAAAGTAACACTCTTCAGCCTTTTGCCGTTGTGAGAAACTTGCTGATTGGGGAAATTGCTCTCTGAGCCACCGGGTATCACAGATACTGTAAATAATAATAATAATAATAATATAATAATAATAATCTTTATTTGTAGAGCACTTTTCAAAAACAAGTTACAAAGTGCTTTAACAAGTGTAAAGACAATAATACCCAAGAGACAATAATACAAAAACAATACAAGATAAAAGCATGAAAACATTGAAAAGACTAAAATACAGATAAATATAAAATTAGTAAAATACAGTAAAATAAAAGGGATAAAATAAAGTCAATAAGATGGGAAAGGCTCTCCTATAAAAGTATGTTTTAAGAAGGGACTTAAAAGAGTTCACTGACTCAGCCGACCTGATTTCCTTGGGCAGGCTGTTCCAGAGCCTCGGGGCCCTGACAGCAAACGCTCGTCCCTTTAGTTTTCAGTCGAGACTCTGGAACAGACAACAGACCTCTGCCCGAGGATCTCAAGGTACGTGCTGGTGCGTATGGGACTAAAAGGTCAGAAATATAACAAGGCGAGAGGCCATGAAGAGCTTTAAAAGTGATCAATAGAATTTTAAAGTCAATTCTAAAACATACTGGGAGCCAGTGTAGTGAAGCTAAAATAGGAGTAATGTGGTCATATTTCTTTGTTCTGGTTAAAAGCCTGGCAGCTGAGTTCTGGACAGTCTGGAGTCGAACAATAGATTTTTGGGTTAAACAGGTAAAAAGGCTGTTGCAATAATCCAGGCGTGATGAGATGAAGGCGTGTAAAATGGTCTCGGTGTCCTTAAAAGTTAACATAGATCGAATTTTTGCTATATTTTTGGAATTTTCTGCTCGAAATTTAAATTACTATCAAACCAAACACCAAGGTTCTTTGCCACAGGCTTAATGTGATTTACTAGGGAACCAGCAGATGGCAGTATTTGTTTTGCCATCTGCTGGGACCCAATGACCAGGATTTCTGTTCTGTCTGAGTATTTGACATCCATTTTTTAACTTCACAAAGGCAGTTGTTAAGTGAACTCAGCATTCCAGGGTCTGTGGATCTGACGGGAAAGTATATTTGTGTGTCATCAGCATAAATATGAAAAGAAATGCCATGTTTATGGATAATATGTCCAAGGGGAAGCAGATACAAGGAAAACAAAATGGGTCTTAAGACCGACCCCTGAGGCACACCATATTTAACTGGACAGAACGCAGAGACATAGTTGTTTACAGACACACAAAACTTCCTATTTGACAGGTAGGATGAAAACCATTCTAGGGCAGTACCAGAGATCCCCACCCAGTGCCTCAGTCTGTCTAACATGATGTTGTGATCAATGGTGTCAAAAGCAGCGCTAAATGTGTCGGCACAAGCAGCAAACAGCAGTCTGTAAATATATATTTGTGTACACCAACTCTAACTCCGACATTGTGTTGTGCAATTTATAATTACACTAACATATCGAATGAATGTCCTAATTAGATTTATTGATATTATAAGATGCTACACTTTACCCCGTGCCTGCTGCAAGTTGAAACAAGTGCGTCTGCTTGCTTACAGCGGAGGAAGAGATCGCATTCCCACCCACCTACCGTTATGAACGTGGCTCACGGGACACATATGTCTGGCAGAAGCAGAAGGCCACAGGGGTATGTTTACTGCCTCAGACAGCATCACAGATAAACTTACTTCCCAGCCTTGTCTGACAAGGCATCTTGTTCCTCTTTTTGTGAGTCATCCTGATCATCTACTTTTCTGTCTGTCCCAGATGAGGACTAATGTTCCCTCCTGGTGTGACAGGATCCTGTGGAAGTCATACCCAGAAACGCACATTGTCTGCAACTCCTATGGTGAGACCATCAGTAGAAAATCATTCAACACACACTTGTTTCACTATGTAACAGAGGTCCATTTTAGCAACTAGGTATAGTGATTTATTTCTTCTAAACATCATAAAACTCTATATCTGGCTTATACAGCATTTAATATGATCGATCAACAAGGAGACGTAAGTATAAGCCATTTTGTTTTTCAGGCTGTACAGATGATATAGTGACCAGTGATCATTCCCCAGTGTTTGCTACCTTCGAGGTGGGGGTGACCTCCCAGTTTGTCTCCAAGAAAGGTACAAGTGGACTAACTTAAATCCTTCAGAAAATACTGTCTGTCTCCTCTTGTCTCTCTTCCTTCTGTTCCTGCTCTTTCATAGGCTGCAGATAGACTACATGATTTGACCATAATGGCTGATAAATAAAGTGGACTGATTTGTTTATTTTCCTGCTCAAATCCAGCCTCACAGCTTATGTTTTCACAAGATTTGGGATTTGCACCTGTTTTTTTCTTGTTGAGAAGAGCAAAGGAAACAACTGAATGGCAGTTATTAAAGTGTTTTTTTCTCTTCATGTTCATGTTTTCCACCGCCTGGCCACCTGTTTCTGTGTAGGTCTGCCAAAATCTTCAGAGCAGGCCTACATTGAGTTTGAGAGCATTGAGGCCATAGTGAAGACGGCGAGCAGAACCAAGTTCTTCATCGAATTCTACTCCACCTGTCTGGAAGGTGAGATGAACGTCAGGAGTTACAGCACAGACAGGGTTTCTGTAACACCAGGATGTAATAAAATTGTATCTGTTTCTTCTTTTTGTATCTTCTTCCTTCCCTCCCTACCTCAGGCAGTCAGTATACCTTTAAGCTAGAATCCATTTTTGACCTGTGCTGCATCCCCGACTCCTGTCCTCTGTGTACTTTTGTGAATGAATACATCTCCCTCCTCTTCTTCCTTCTCTCCTTCCCTCCTCATTCCCTTTGTCCTCTCTCCCATCCACTCTGCCGTGCATTTCTCTCTGTCTCTCATTTGTAGAGTTCAAGAAGAGCTATGAGAACGACAGTCAGAGCAGTGACAACGTCAACTTCCTGCGTGTGGGCTGGTCCAACAAGCAGCTAACGACGCTCAAACCTCTCCTCTCGGAGATCGAGTACCTGCAGGACCAGCATCTGCTGCTCACAGTGAAGTCACTGGATGGATACGAGTCCTACGGTATAAAGAGATAGTGCCTACGTTTGTGGTGTGGCTATGCAATTATTTCAAGTTGGCAAACCAATGTGTGTTTTTCCTCTGCTAGGAGAGTGTGTGTTGGCTCTGAAGTCTATGATTGGCAGCACAGCACAGCAGTTCCACACCTACCTGTCCCACCGTGGTGAGGAAACAGGAAATATCAGGGGTTCCATGAGGGTCAGAGTGCCTTCCGAAAGGATGGGCACCAGGGAGAGACTCTACGGTAATGCACAGTATATGTAACTGCATGGCGATAGTCTAGGAGAGTTAAACAGACTCCACTTAATTTTAAAGATACAGTATTTATAACCAGAGAAGAGGGAAGATGTACATTAATGTTAATCATGAATTTATAATGCAGTTTGACAGAGGACATACTGTAAGTGTCCCATTTATAACTATTTTTATATTACAGAGTGGATCAGTGTGGACAAGGATGAGACAGGCGGACCAAAAGGGAAATCCACTTTGGTATCCAGAGTGGGACACGAATACGTCAAGTCAGTACACTCTGCTTTTTTAATTTTGCACCTGATGTCGTTCTGTAGTAAAATGCAAAAAGCTGAATGTTTGTTTTATGGAAATTTGCACACATTCTTATATTACATATCGCTGAAATTCAACCGTGATGTTCTGTTGGTAGATGCAGTTACTTAAACCAACAGTAAGATAGAAACGGATAAATAGGTATGATGCTAGAAGACGCCGACACAGTGGATATTTAACGAGCACAGACCAGGTAAATGAACACCTGGTATAGTGTTATTATAAATAATATGTAATTTGTAAAGCTATGAGTAGAAGGAAAGTCCGCTAGCTGCTAGGCTAATTTATGCAGTGTAAAATGCCATAGGCTTAAGCTGATAAAGGTGACTATCAGGTTATAGCAGTTTTAAGCCCTGTCCTCTTGGCTCGAGCTGAACTAAACATCGCAGCCTGGCTGAAAGGAAGTTTGGGTGTGTAGAGAGGGGTGGGAGCTACCGCTGTAAAGGAAAGGGATGCCCTGGTTTTATAACACAAGACAAAAGGAGTGTCATTGCGAACGGCCTGCGGCACAATATTTAAAATATCTGGATTCACTTGTTTTTATAATAGTTGGAAGCCAAAATCGTAAAATTAACCCCTAGCCCTACTGCACCTAGCACCTTGTATGTTCACCTTTCTTAATTCCCTATTTTGTCCGACTTGTCACTTGATGTGTTCTCGATGCAGGCCATCTGTAGTTCGTAAACAGCTTGGGGAGCTGGGAAAGGTCAGTGAGGAGGGAGAAAGGAGCACCAAAGATGAAACAGCTGCAAGGTACAGACACACTCATGGCATTCAGACCCACTGACCAGCAAAGAATCTTCACGTTAGCCTCACAAAAAACAACCATGAAACATAAAAAGTTAAACCGTCAACCACCTCTTCTGTTTGTGTGTGTATTGTGAAGGCCTAAACAGGATGCACCTGACGGTGATCCATCCATCAGCAAGAACAGCTACAATAATCCCGCCTACTACATCCTGGAGGGCGTTCCCAACCAGTCGGCAGCTGCTCTTTCACCTGAGCTTCTCCCATCTCCTACCTCTGCAAATCCCCAGGTAGCTAAAGTCACTCCTCCCTCAGCTGGAGCTCGAACCAAACCCCCACCTTATGTGGCCTCAGGGTCCTGTCATGCACGCAGACCCATGACGGGGCACCCGGTCCGTGCTATCAGCGAGGAGGGCTCCTCAGAGGACGATGGTGGCGTCTGTGTAGCAGGAGCGCAGGGGGGCGGTGTTGGAACAACAGTTGGAAGCACACTAAATCGACCCCCTCCTGACTTCCCCCCTCCTCCTCTCCCTAAGGGAGCTTTGGAGATGGTTACAGAGGCCCCCTTCCCAAAACCTCGCCCTCTTTACCCAGATTTAGCTGAGGTCAGGATCCCAGCAGCCAGTCCTGCTGCCCCGCTGGCCCTCGGAGAGGGTTTTAGACGAGGAGGTGGGGGAGTTGGCGTTGGACCAGGGGCACTGGACGACCAGTCGTGTTCTGTGCTCCAGATGGCAAAGACACTGAGTGAAAGTGAGTTTCCTGGGCAGCCTCCGCGCGCTCCTTCTGCTCCGCCGCCTCTTAGAGGGCAGCCGACGGGTTTAGGTCTGGACGCGTGCCGCACCTTCCCACCCAGAAATGCCATCACAGAGAGCATCGCAGAAGACATGCCAGAGGAGGTGAGAAGTTAATTTAAATTCAGTTCAATGGCTCATTCAAGGATATTTTTTTAGATGCAATTCAATAATGAAAACTCTGGCAGCTATAGGAAGCCAAGCTGTGACTTTTTGGTATTGTTTGGTAGTTTTTTCCATCCCGGTATTTTTATTTTATAGTTTTCTCACACACACAGACGCTCTACCGGTCATACAGCCGCCTGTAAGATTTTTCCACAGCACCTCATATTTTAATCAAAGTGTGCTTCCTTCTTGGGGTGAAGAAAAATAGCTAGCATATTGTATCTTTTACTTAGTTAGTTGATCCTGTGTTAAATTTCCCCTGTGCAGGCACTCTGGGGCAGCAGTAGCTCATCTTTGTCTGTTGGGGAGTCCTCAGTAGGGGAGTGGCTGCAGAGACTGGGACTAGAGAGGTATGAGCAGGGTCTTCTACACAACGGCTGGGACGACCTGGAGTTCCTCAGGTACATACACTCAGACATGTTGACGTTGACGTTTGTGAGTGAAAACACAAAAAGCCTGGTCTCTTCTGTTTAAGTGTTTGTTTCTCACATCTTGTTTTGTTTTTCCAGTGACATCACGGAGGAGGACCTGGAGGAGGCGGGAGTGCTCGACCCCACCCACAAGCGAATCCTGCTGGAGAGCCTCAGGCAGCAGCAACAGAAATAAACTGTATCCAACTGGTCCAAACCGGTCCTGGTACCAGACTAGGTCCAAAGAGGGTAGATCTCAGCTGAACTGAACTGAGCTGGAACGTGCCAATCGATGCCAGACTGTGCCTTCTGAGAGAAATTGCACTCTATTTGTACTTTCAAAAAAATACTTTCTTCATCCTTTTTCACATGTACTGTATGTGTGTTGCGGTTGAGGTGGCCTTATTTAATGAGAATCATTTGAGTCCTTCAAGCATCACTACATAACCCCTCGGCTTTAAACCTAGCTAGAAGATGCAGGATGAGATAATATTGTTTTTCTGGCCAGACAGAATTGGAGATACGTCTCACGTGTTGAGCAGCTGATGCCTTGATGTCGTGTCATGTGTGTCGTTCCACCAGTTCTGACCTGCAGCTTCAAGCTAGCGTTGACACTCGTCTTCCCTTTCTTTGTCCTGAGAAACCTAAACTGAGGAGTGACCGAGTTTAAGACTCTTCACGCATGGGAAATTGCAGACTTTCAAGTTTAAAGCTGGAAGGACTTTTTGTTGGAAAGCAGAGCCTTGAAAACACACCGTCTGTGTTTTGTAGTTCAGACAGCAAAGTGCTCTTCTCTGAGTCTCAGGTTCTCCCCCACTTAAGGTCACAGGCAGAAGTGTGTGGGAATTGAGAGCACTCAAGGGTAATGTCAGCCCACAGCTCGGGCAGTGTGACCCCCTTGCTTCTGTGACGGTGGCGGACAGGAAGTGGTGACAGCAGAGGAGCTAGCCCTCACTCGCATCAGGCTAAAGTTGCCTCAACTTTTGTGATGATGTTTGGGCCACTGTTGTTTAAATGGTGGTATTTATTGTGCCCGTGTCTCTGCACATATTTATGTTTTACTTGTGTTTGTTTTTTATGATAAAGGGAATATGGAGCAAACCAACCAAACCAGTCCATTCAGAGCTAAAAGTGCAAAATTTAACAGCGCCTGCCCCAGGTGTGATTTTTACACACTCGGCACTGACATTTCGGCTTTATTGACTGTGATTTCTGACAATTGCAAAGTGTGACAAGTTAGTAACATTATATTTCCAGAAACCCTTAAATGACACGTGCAGCACATGGGTTCTTGACACAGCATTTGGTTGACTGGTCAAGATAATAAAGTAGGTAAGGCAATAAAATCACAAGTATACACAAGGGTAATAAATGCTGCACCAAAGTGAAATGTCACTTTGAAGATTTAACCCAGTGCATGTCTCACCTTAATTGTCTGTGAGTACTTTAAATTTTAATTTACAGAAAAAGACAAGTCTATTTTAGAATCACTTGACCCGGGTTTGACCCATTTCATTTTAATTCTTGTAAATGAAGCAGTGTTCAGGGATTTGAATAACATAGCCAAATAGATGAAGTAGTTGTTGTTATACTGAAGATTTACTAAGCCATCATATTGTCATTGCATTGGAGAAACCATTTGTCACCAAAACATTTTTCTTTCCTGTAATATAGCTACTTTGACAGATTTGTCTTATTTTAATTTGTTTGTTTTTTGTTACATTACTAGAGACATGAGAAGACGTAAAAAACAAAGAACTAAAATCTATGCAGGACACAGATGGTGTGAGGGCTGTTGTTGTTCCACGATTTAACCAGCAGGTGCCGCTGCTTCGCCATAAATTTAATCAATAGATGCTCACTATTGAAACTAAGACACAATATATATGTAAGACAAAATCGAGTCATGTTCAGTGAAAGGAGTTGTACTTTATAGTTATTCTCCATGGTTTGTTTATATGTCCTTTAGCAGTTACACATCCGTGAGTTAACTTACCTGTTTGTGTTCAGACTGCCTTTATTTGTTCTTAATTTAAATCCTGCCTCCTCTTCTGCCCGTGAGACTAGAAGCCCAGCCGATAAACCGTTTATCGTTGTTTTTTAAGGGATGCTTACGTGGCTTCACGTAGACACACCGGACACCTTTCCTTACCTACCGGAACCAGACCTCTAAAGTCTGTTGTTGCATAACTGGGACACAAATACATCCTTGAATTATGTTGCTTACACACACACAGCCTTAGATTCAGCTATCCGCCTGTGTGACGTGTTGTGCAATGTGTCTAATCCTTTAACAGCCAAACAACGAGAACTCAGAGAAAAACCTGTTAAATCTTTTTAAGCCGTTTTGGCCTTTCAGCGTTCTTGGTTATGTGTGTATGTGTGTGTGTGTGTGTTTGTTTGACTGTGTGTGTGTGTGTTTGCGTGCGTGTGTATGAGTGAAAAAGAGACTTGTTTTCTCTGACACACTCCATTTTATCTTGTTCTTTCATGTAGTCTCCTCTTTTGGTTATGTTAATGTAAGTTGTTCAGCCGAGTAATTTTGTCGTTGTTGTTTTTTTTTTCAATTAAAATCTAACATATTTACTTATTTTGTAGATTCACTTATTTAATTATTTTATGTTGTCTGTAGGGAAAGCTGAAAGGATGAAACAGTTATAGTCCGTGAGCTTCATTAAAGGAAAGGGAAGGTGTGCACGGTCAAATTTTAAGTTTTGATTTGACCATGATTTCAGGAGCTGTGTTCATGAGGTGTGACTTTTGCACACACAAACTCCCATCACTCTGTTAAACACAAGAAACCAGATCATTAAACGTGTCATGTAGTGCTTCCATAATGTAGATTTATTAGAATATTCAGAGTAGTGCTATAACTTCTCATTCACTAGAGCTTCCGTCGATTCATAGTTTTCATGGACGTGTTGAGACAGGTGCTCTGCGATGAAATAAATCTGTAAAGCAACATTAGAGAAAGAAACAAAAAGGCTACCTAATATTTATATTACTAATTACGGAATTTACAGTCACAAAAGTTCATGGAGCAGTTCAAGAGAAATGTGTGGGTTTCTCACTGACAGAATAAAGAATATTAATAAATACATGTTTTTTTCACCTTTTTGAGCAGATTTCTGAAGCCCCCCACACCCCCTCTCCCCAAAAAAATCTGCTCTGAAAAGGGTCTTGTTTTAGTGATTTGCAACAAAACGAAATAGGTGATACACAAGCAACTGGAGAAAAGTAAAAACAGCTAATTATTTTTGTTGTTGTTGCAAAAAACAAACAAAGATGGGTGCCAGCGGGACCAAAATCAGGGTGTTAATGGACACAGTAGAAAACTCCAGGAACTGTCTGCGGCTCTCTCGCCAACTTGCTTTGCATCTCTGAGAAACATCGTCTCATGTTCGTCAGCTGTGGGGCATTTGTTGATGGACCCGGTTAAAGAGTCAAAGCGGGTGGTGAGTTCCCACCACGGGTTGAAGACCCCGCTACCTGTTGAACGCACTCAACAATCCAGCAGGAGCATCGCCAAAACACTCTCGACGAAAGTGAGAAAACCCAGTTGCAGTACCATGAAACCAACAGCACAAGTCACTTATAACTAGACTGACAGATTTGGAGGTTACACTCTGCTCTGTGTAAAACTCCTCACCTCTCTCCGCCCGAGGAACAGTGCAGGAGGTTGCAGCGGGAGCCTGTCCCCCTTTGCACTGAATTTCAACAAAGTGCCCACTGTTTGATAGAGAAAGGCATGGCGGGACAGAGAGAGTGTGAAGGGATGGGACCTTGAAGGGGGAGGGGGTCACACTGAGATGGGAGTAGGGTAGGAGGGGGGAGTCAGGACTTGATACAGTAAAGAAGGCTGGTCTGGACCCGGCTGCTGTAATTGGATTTCGGGGCAAAGAGATTAAGGGGGGACTCTGTTCTCCCTTCTGGGAGTCTGTGTGTCAGGGGGCTTAAGAGGAAGTTGTGCTTGAGGGTAAAAGTTTGTTTGTTTTGTTTCCCCAGCGGAGACTGGAGCGTGATGTTTAGATTTCTGCTTTAAAACTCGTAGGCTACCTGACCGCCATGCTCTGCGGGCCCCCATGAGGGTTTGTTGCAACGCAGCGAGTGTGGGAATGTGAGTCTTCAGACGAGGAGATTGAGTCCTATGTGTTCTGACTCGGCCACACACAAACATCCTTCTGACACAGTGGCGTTTAAGGTCCTATACATGAAGAGTGTTATATCATTAAATAGAGGGTTAGAGTTTATATCTGAGCAAGATGTCCTGTCAAAACTGTAAGAACGGCTCTGATTTGAGTTTGAAAGTTAATGGCAGGGAGGAAACTGGGCGCGTCCATGTTGAGTTTTGCAGGTAAAATGTGCAATTGCATAATATTTTGGGGTGAGAGATGGTGGCCAGACCTTTGCCTTTTATTATCTGGGCTTTGAATCAGTTTGACAGGATCGTTTTTTTAGAGGAGAACCGGGGGCCTCGCTGAGCTACAGCAGACTACACCGGCGAAATCAGCGTTATAATGGGCAAGTCCTGACTCTCAATTTAGAAACTCCTCACTGTTCCAGTAAACTGCATAATGTCTGTTTTTCATTTTCTCTTCCTCTGTGCTTCAGAACAGGTTCGTCTTGATGGTGGGGTTGGGTTTTCTGTGGAAGGAGGACAGGACTCCGGCAAAGGGCCCGGTCATACTGTCCGCCGGCTGCCAGGCCTTCAGGATCTCCTGAGTCTGCGCAGCAGGCTGGGCCACGGCCGGGTTGGACGGCCCCAGGCTGGACCAGCTCGGCGGCTTCAGGCCCTGGAGAACCGGAGAGCTGGAGGTGTTACCGTAGACACTGTTGGCAGGAGCCGGGCTGGGGCTCAGGCTGGCAGGACTGCCCAAATTTCCGTTGGCCGAGCCCGGCAGGGAGGCCGTGCTGTCAGGTGTGGGGCTGCAGGTGGATTCTTTGGACTCGTCGTCGTCTGACGAAGATCTCGGCTCGCCGCCCTTCTTCCCCCCAGAGCTGCTGCTGCTGTTGCTGCCTGAGGTGCCACCGGAGCTGTTTGCTTTGGCGTTGGCTGCACGCTCCTGCTTACGAAACTTGGCCCGCCTGTTCTGAAACCACACCTGGTAAACAGAGACACAGAGGTCACATTAATTGATTAAAGACACAGCAGGGGACTGATGGATGGATGGATGGATGGATGCAGTCATAAATTAAAATGTCCGGTAAAACGACAAATGAGGCGTTGGACAAATAGCCTAGTAGGCTACCAAAGTAATATCACAAGAAAGCGTGAGGATGAAAGTCTGTTACTCTTACCTGTACCCGGGCCTCGGTCAGGTCTATCTTCAACGCCAGCTCCTCTCGGGTGTAGATGTCCGGATAGTGTGTCTCGGCAAAGACCCGCTCGAGCTCCTTCAGCTGGGAGCTGGTGAACGTGGTCCTGATGCGCCGCTGCTTCCTCTTCTCGTTCAGGCCGGAGGGGTCCGAGAAAAACTTGTAAGGGACTGAGAACGTGAAGAAATGAAATCCGTTTAGTGGTCGAAAATCAAAAGTTAAAACGGACTGACCGGCTTTTTACGGCAGAGGCCGCATAGATTACAGTAACAATGAAAATAAGCAGAGGCCCTGCTAAATGAACCAGGGCCCGGTTTATAGCCTACCTTGTCGGTGTTTTAAAACAAAGCAACTTTTCATTGACGTTATCAGGAAATCTTTCACAGTTCGATAACTGTCTAATCAACTGTTTTCGTCACTAGGCTACAACAAGTGATTGTTTTTGGACTGCGGATTAATTGGTTGACAAATTGATCGCACAGCCATTCAGATAGGCTTAACGGAGTAACAAAATATGACCAAACCAAACCTGACTGAGATTGTACAATAAGCTGTAGCCTATAAGAGGGCGCTTTTATAACAAAACATGAAGTGGAAATATCAGGCATCAGTCGGCTGTAAATATAAAGCTGAGTAATTCAAAAAAAAATTTTTTATTTAGCCTAAAACATTTTTACTGTTTCATAATGTTGACTAAGAATTTTTAGCCTTCATAGTAGGCCTACAGTGGAGAAAATTTATTTTGCCCAAATACTCAAATTAGTTACAGGCTTAAAATATAATTTGTTTAACGAATTTATCATTTAACACGATAATGTCAGATAAGTAGTGCCAAAGTAACATTACAAGAAAGCAAATCTCTATCAAATGTTTTATAACAAACGTTCAGCCTGCATTTTTAATCCAGCATGTGTACCTTCATCAGTAGCTATAAACTGAATTCCAGTATTGAACTGTATTTAGGTGATTTTGGAATTCATGGTTTAGTATGGCGATGCCCCAATAAGGTTTATATTAAGCCCGTTCAAATCCACAGAAAGGAGCAGCGTTTCACTGCTTTAAGAAAAGAAAACGAACAAAATGTAAATTGAATTTAAAATCGTACCTGCAATAAATCATTTAAGAATGGGACACAGTTAAGGCTGCAGGTAAATGAAGACTAATTGCACACAAACAGTTCGTCAGTTACTTGGGCCCTAGGTATGACCAACAGGTGTGTGTGTCGTCATGGTGTATTTCGGCAAGATGTCAAATTCAATTTTCTTAGACGCTGTATTAGGCCTATTATTTTTCTTTTTATTATTACAAGCCTATATAACAGTCTTCTGATGTATTATATATTGACGCATGCATAGGCTATGGTCGAAATTACTAGGCTATAGAAGTACAAAATATAAAATTAAATTAAAAAAAACTTGGCAATAAATCCGATTCCGACGTTCCCCCTTACGATTCTTTTTCAACTTTCAGCTTTTCAACGTGATCATTAAATTATTTCATTAAAACATTAAAATGTAAATTATGATTTCACTGATTTAGCATGCAAAAGTCAGTGATTTAATTCTAAACTAATGATTAATGTTAATGGTAAAAATAATAGGCTACATGCAAAAGAATTTAGGCCTTAAATTGAATAGATGGTTTCGTTATAACGAAAAATAGAGTTGACAATGAAATATTTTCTTTTTTGCCTTTTTTTAAATAGCCTACAATAGAAGAAGTGTTTCAGTCAGATGACAACATGCGGCTTCAATAACAATTTCTTTTATTATGAGCCTAATGAAGAGGTATTCCCTCATCCTGACACGTTTATTTGGATACTCGCAGACCCTCAGGAGAATGAAACCGAGGATCCTGTACCTGAGGAGTAAGGTGTGGGCTGGTGCTCTCGCAGGGCTCCCAGGGTGCAGCTGGCCGTGCTGAGCGGAGTGCAGCCCGGGTTGGAGAAGGGTCCGCTCCGGATCGGGTTGTATTGGAAAGAGCTGGCCTGGCTGCAAGAGCTGAAGTCCGCGTAGGCCGACGCTTCCATGGCCGCCATGCAGGAGTCATAGGAGTTCAGGTAGGAGTAATCCATCTTATACATGGAGGTCAGCCGGTGCAAACACCGGTCTGCAAAAAGAAACGACGGGTTGAGCTCTGGTTCGGAGAGGGTTTGTGTGTGTCTTCAGCCGCCTTTTATGAGCAGATAGAATTGATATTGTTCAAAGCACTCAGAGTCGGTCCGTCTCTCCAGTATCTCCAAGGACTGTAGCTTCTTCTCTCCAGAGCTCCTGT